TTAATATAAATATTATGTGAAATTATTTTTTAAAATTAAATACTGTTTGGTATAATTAATTAAATAAACATAATTTTTTTTTTCAATTGATTTTATTATATTAATTTTATTAATAATTTATTGTTGTGTGTATGTATATGCACCTAATAAATAGGTGTTTCATTCATCAATTTTATTTTGTACCATCATCAAAGAAACACTGTATAGGTACGAACAGAATTGAATCAAAAAAATTATACGTCCATATTGGAAAATATGTAAAAAAAAATTTATATTTATGTCAAACATAAATTAAATTAATAAAGTCTAATTAGTTAAATTTAAAAAAAAAAATATAAAAAATTATAACAATTTTATTTCTCTTTTTTTTAAAGAAATACCGTTATTCTCTCAATTTGTCAACTGACTTCTAAAACATAAAAATAATAACTGAATTAAATTCCAGTCTAGAATTTCTTAAAAAAATTAAAAAGAAAAAAATTTGAATTTCTTTTCATTTTTTTTTTTCATCATCATCATTATTTGAACTGATAAGAAAAAAAAAATAAATTTTCTTTTATTGTGTAACTTTTAAGTATAAAACTTTTTATGAATATTATAAATGCGCCTACATATATGTGCACTAGTAAAACAAGTAAGTAGGTACACAATTTGGTATAATAAGTGTGCGCATAACTAAAATGTACTTGTTTTTTTTTTGTTTCTTTTTCTCATTAGAATATTATCATAATTACCGGAGAGAGACTTATTATTATTAAATGATTACTTTGAAAAGTACTCGTATATAAATGTATACACATGTAATGTATAAAAATATTTTTTAAAATTAACAAGAATTTAATTGTATTTTTATGACTTTATTTATACTTAGATGCATTATTATGCCTCAAGACATTTGCGTATGTACATATTAAAAATGTGGTGAGGTATGCAGAAAAGGTCCATTTTTTAAATTAACTTAAAATAGTTAAACATTTACTATTTTAATTGCTTATACTAAACCTTTAAAAAATTTCTAAATTATTAGAAAGATAAATATTTTTGTTATTTTTTTTTTTGTATAAGTAGCATAGTGTTTGCAATCAACTGATTAATAATATTTTGGTGCGTGTCAACATTGTTATTATTTACTTGGATGTCAACATACTTATGCAGTGTTTGAAATTAATTTGACAGATTTTAAGCTCTAGGTGATATTTTCGAATATTACTAAAATATTCATTAATATATGTACGTATAAACTTGTAAGTATTTACATACATACTCGAAAACTAATCAAATAAAGAAAAAAGCATATTGGAATGTAAAAAAATTTTAAAATTAAAATTAAAGAAAAACTATCCTTATGTACATACAGCATGTACATATTATATGCTTATATGCAGTGTTTCTGCAGTGGTGCATTGACATATACCAGCGTGTAGATCTCCATGGGTAAAGAAAAACATTGTCCCACAATAGGCCTTTTTTGGAACCAGTTTAGGGTCTATTCAAATATTTATTATTTGAGCAATTTTTTAAAAAAGATTTAAAGATACTAGGCAAATTTATACACAATCATAATAAAATGTAAAATATAAAAAAAAAAAAACAATATCAAACTCGTAGACCTATTATTTCTTTTTTATTTTAATGCAAAATTTTTATCTCCGCCAGCAAAAACAAACAAGAAATAAGATTAAAACTTTCTTAAATTTCAAGCAATTCCGATAAAAATGTACAAAAAAATTTAACATACATAATTAATTTTGCACCACAAAATGCATAACCTAATTTTAAATTTTGATATCAAATTTTTGTTTTTTAAATTGTAAATTAATTCATTTCATATATTCGTATAATGTAAGATGCCCCAAATTTTACTTCTTAATCAAAGAGCACCATATTTATGATATTTATAATGTTTTCCGACAAAAACACAACTAAAAGTAATATTTTTCTTTAAAAACTTATATTTTTGGCAATTTATAAATATACATACATAAATTTAATTAAATATCACTTAATTGTTTTTATCAGAAACTCTTAAATTTAAAATTGGCACATATTTTATCAAAAAAGTCCAAAAGAAATGGAAAAATCCTAAAATTATATTAAGCGAATAAAAAAATCTTACACAAATATTAAATTGAATTGAATAAAGAAACGAAATCAGAACAAAAATTTTCTATTCAAATATTACTTTACATTTACAAAACAAATTACATACAATTTTTGTTACAGAATTACACTTGAAATTTTTGAAAGAAACAAAAAGAAAAAAAATTTAATTCATTCATAGAATTCAAGTTCATTCAGAAATAGCTACATCTAAGAAAAAGAAACAGAAAAAGTAAAAATCATGGGCAATAGAATATTGAAGTGCGAGTTCATTGATAAAAATATATAATGTAAATACTTTCATTTACGTATGTATATGAATTTATGCATAAATGAAAAAATTTTCCTAATTGAATATTAGATTGTGAAAATTTTCACATTAATCTGTATTTAAAAGTAGCATTATATATAGAAATTTACACATTATATAGCGCAAATACTATAACAATATAATAAAAAACTGGTATAGAAAATATTGTAAATTACTTTGTAAATTAAAATTTTAAAAATAATTGAAAATTATGCACGAATTTTAATCTAATTATTGCATGAATCTAATTATTGAATGATCAATTTTTTAATTTTAATTTAATTTTTGATTAATTTGATATTTTACAGCATAGTTTTTAAGTAAATGTTTAAAGTAAGTGTATACATATAGTGCAAAATGACAAAAAATAATATTGCTAATATTTCTATTGAAGATTAACTTAAAACTAAAGAATATTACTCTTCCAAATAATTTGTAATTTCTTATAACATAAAAAACAATTTAATATTTAATTTTATATTTAAGCACTTAAAGAAATTAAGAGAAATATAAAATATTTGTAATTTGTGATATTACTAAAGTCATTATTCTTTTTATCGTACACCTTATAATATACAATTTATTTCTGTAAAATTCTAACGATACTCTTTTTGGATATCAAGAAAAAACAATAAAATACTTTTAATTGAAATATTAAATTGAAAAAAAAATATATGTTAGCGTTCAGACAAGACACTTAATTTATTTAAATTTTTCCTTTTCTATTAAATTATTTTCAATGTAGTTGATCTTTAACTGAGCCTACATTTATCAAAAACTTATGTATGCCTATATATATTTTTATTTTATTTCCTCAGTTATATTAAACTTAAAATTTTTATAATGTACAATTGATTATTATCTACAATCTGTCTAGAATTAGAATCAGCTTTACTTATTTTAATTCAATACCTTCATTAATAAAGCTTCATCTTAAATTCGAGAGTACAAACATACATAATAGTTTACAATTTTGTAATTAATTTATTTCCATTTAATATTTTCTTATCTTCATGTAAAATAATACTTTTTTATAAAGATAATACATACGTATAAAAAAAGCTTGAAATATTTCATATAATTTTAATAATGTAAATTCATTATTAAAAATTAAACGTAATAATTTTATAATTATATTTACTTAAGTTTCTACAAAATAATAAACTAAAAACAGTGAAACTATTATTTTAATATATCTGGGAATTTAAATTTCTAAACGAGATTATTATGTTTTGTTATGAAAGCTTAAAAACTAAATGATATAGTGATACCATTTTTAGAATAAAACTCAAAAATTTTTAAAATGAATGTTTAAAAAAATAATTTATTAAATTGAAAATTATATAAAATGTAAATTAAAAACTTATATTTTATATTTTTATTATTTTTTTTTTTTTGAAAAATTTTGCTTTCCTTTTTTTTTCTCTATATAATTTACTTAAATTTTATAATTATTTTTTTAAGTCTATAATTTCATATATATTTTTAAATTAATGTTTTCTCTTTTAATTTATGAATTGTTTTTTAAATACATTCTTTTAAAGGTTTGACAATATTTATCACTTAATTTACCAAATAAATATTTTTGACATTTATATGTGTATTACATTGAATACCTAATAATAAATGTAATTATTAATTTTTTTTTTTACAAATATGCACAATTTAGAAAATATATGTATAAAAAATTTTTATAAATAATTGATATTATTATAATACTATCGAATTATACTAATTGAACAATCACTTTTATAAACATTTATAACATCATGTTAAATATTATTAATACAGTTGTCACAAATTTAATAAACGTAAAAGTGTTGAGCATATTTTCTGATAGTGTTTTATTTTTTTTTCTTACAATTCTAAAAAACGTAATATAAATCTGCATTGTTTTAAAGTTGTTTTAAATTTATTTGCAAATTTCTTAAGTCTGAAACTCTCATTCAAATAAAAATTGCATGTTATAAAGATCAAAACTGTTGGTAGTAAATTACAAGTAATTGTTACTATTAAATAATTATTTAAAAATAATTATTAATTTAATAGTAACAAAAAAAAATAAATATGAAATAAATATTTAAAGACAGGTAAGTATTGATTTTATATAAGTATTGATCTTCATTAGACAAAAAATTTAAAATATTTCTTATAGAATTTAAATTTGCAACGATGCAGTATTATACATTTATGCTTAAGAACTTTAAAAAATAATAAAATATCTAAAAATATGGTTATTTCAATTTGTGACTCTTTTATAAGCAGTATTTAATATTAATTTTAATTTTAAATTATTTTATACGTATATTTTTTGTTAATTTAATAAAAATGAAATAAAATGTGCTATATCATACAATTACAATTATAATTTTTCTTACATTCAAAAAAAAAAATCAATCAATTACGGTTTATATAACAAAAATTAATAAATAAATCTTAATTTCCATATAATTAAGATTTTAAGCATTAAAAAAATATAATTATTATTACAATTAATTTAAATATAAAATTATAATCATAATTAAAAGTAGAATAAAAATTATTATGAAACAAAGAAAAATATATATATTTTATAATAATAATCTTGTTTTCGACATTATTGTTTAGTTAGGGAAAATATTTTCAAAAAAAATATGAATAAAAAGAATATAAAATTTATAATATAAAAATTAACAATACCTACGTTAATTAATTGTTATTATAATAATTTTAATGAATATTAATATTTATTTTAAAACAAATTTTTCCTTTAATTGATAATTTAAAATTTTAATTTAATTGAAATTTAATATTTCTATTTACATATTTTTTTATTGTTCTAAGAAAGTTTTTTCGTCAGAACTATCAAGTGAAAACATATTTTTCTTCATGTTCTCTGTTTTTGATAGTTGAAATGAATTTTCTAATGTTGGCTGAATTACATTATACGCTTGTAATTCAAGTAAATTGAATTTCGCCTAAAAATAAATAAAACAAAAATTAATATCATTTATACTAACAAAAAAAAAATGTTTTCCTCATTCTAATTAATATTAGGAACTATTAGCAATTTCAGAAATGAATTAACTTGTATAATATTTTTATGAAAATCTTTAACTAATTAAAGATAAATAATAATTAAATGATTAGAATGAAAAAAAGAATAATACTGTTCCATTAGAGTGCATAAAATTTTCTTACTGGATCTTCTTCAATTGTAGAATTCTTTTGATCATGAGATAAATTAGAATGCTTGTTATTATTCCCCCAAATTGGATCAACCCAAAATGAATGAATCTTAAAAAAAAAATTGAACAATAAAATATTTAAAATTTTTTATGAATATTCAATAACCTCTGAATGATCAGTGACATTTTCTTTATTATTCAATTCAGACTTATTATCAATGTTTTTAGTTTTTTCTGTAATCTTTGATAATCCAAAAATATCATCATTCTTGCTATAATTTAGATTATCATTAAAATAATCCATATTTCCATTAGTCCATAGTTGTGGAAAATCACCAAACGGATCATTGTTGTTAATATCTGTTGAATTAACTTCAGCACTAAAGTTCATTCCATCACAACTGCTTGTTACGCTATTGGCACTGCCATTACTTAAACTTAAACTATTCACATTTTTGTTTAAATTTATATTAGTTGCAGTTGAATTTAAATCAATAGAAGTATTTGAAGAGTTCAATGATACATTAAATGAATTATCCTTTCCATAAAGTGACTGAATAAATGGTTGCTGTTGATCTGATTGTAATTGTAGAAATTGTCTTTTATGATATTCATTTTCATAATTAACTGAATATTTGTATTGATCATCAGTTGATTCAGACGGTAATTTGTTTTTATCTCCGGTCGAAATAAATTTATAAGAATTTATGTAATTTGAATATTTATTCTCATTTTCATTTTCGAAGAAATTTTTCATACAAATTAAATTATTATTTTTGTTATCATTATCAATATTATTATAATTATTATTTGATAAAATATTTTCCTTCATTAACGGTATATTATGCATGACTTGCGTTGTTACAGAATTATTGACTGGGCTGTTTGAAGTCACTAGAATTTTTAAAATAAAAGAGTTATAGTACTTATTAAAACACGTATTAATGAAATTAGAGGTAAAACTTACAAGGGCATGTTGAAACAAGAGATATATTACTACGATCAACTAAACTGTTCAGTTCGAAATTGAAAATATCAGGAAATGCCCGAATAAAAGATGTAATGTTGGGGTAACCTTAAAAACACTTTTATAATAATATCATATATTAAATTTTGTATACCTCAATTTACCAATTTTAAAACAATCGCCTAAAGTTATACTCAAATATTTCTTTATTTCACCCAATGTTAATGTTTTATATTGATCAATTACTTTAACAACTTTCATAATATACCTCATTAAACGTGTTAAAATAACCAAAGTTGTACCTTTATCCATTTTAATCTTAAATATTTAAAAATAGAATTTTACAAAATTATTATTAAATTTAATCCGCTTAAATCCTCTTACTTCTATGGCATATTTCATTGCTAATAATGAATTTTCGGTAATAATTTCGTTGTAGGTCGCGTAATATAAGTTCAGTAATTCGTTTAAAGAAATATCATTTGGTTCTGAATTTAGTATTATCTTGCAAATTCTATAGGTTTGATCGCGAAAATTAGCATCATTTAAATGGCATACAATCCATAATTGGCTTTCGATTTCAATTATCTACAAATAAAATTGATCATAAATTTAAATACGTAAAATAAACGTTCGATATTAATAACTTTTTACCTCAATATATGGTAACTCTCTAATAGCATCGAATATATTTGCAAACCCTAAGGTTTGACTTTGAATCTGATATCCGTATTTCTTTTTATGGAACAATAAAACATCATCTAGTTTCATGCATGTATTTGGAGCTCCTGAATTCACTTTAATTAGTTCTTCTAATTGTTCAGCAAAAACTCGTCTTGCTACTTTTGGAGACAAAAAAATCTTTTTATCTTCATCATTTGTTATTTCAATTTCTACAACTCCTTGGATGGCTTCCATAAGATCAGCTAATTTTAAAAATCCATAATCACTTAAACGGCATTGATAACCAAAATGATAATGATATGAACGAACAAATTTTTGAAATAATATAGAATATTGCGGCGCATTACATAACAAATCAACAACTTCTCCAGCAAAAACGCAAGTTTTTTCAATTTCTAATATTGTTTGCTTCCTTTTTGGGATAGAAATTAAAATGTCATTACCATTTTGTATTGGTGTTACAACAATTATATTAGAATTTGCTAGTCCATCCAAAATATCCTCAATAGCGCATACTCCATAATCTGTTATATCAAAAATACGATTTTGAGTTTGAGCAAAAATTTCTGGTAATTGAGATAAGAGAATTGATTTATTTCCCTGGGATCTGATAATTCGTAATAGATCTGTTGTAAAACGCCTTATTTGTATACGATGTGTGAGTGTAATTTGACGATTTTCACCATCGCCCATTATCTTTTAAAAAATTAATAATGAATAATTAATTATTTAACAGAATTCTTAAAATTTTATTTAGTTAACTTAATTAAATTTAAAATTAAAAGTAATACCTGAACAACTGATGATAATGCTTCAAATAATTCAATCAATTTAGTATAACCATAATCAGCAACACGGCACTGTTTACCAAAATGATTATGATATGCTGGTATAAAACGATTAAATTTCATTGTTGATTTTGGTGACATTTTAATTAATTCTATAACTTCTTTTGATATTTGATACAAAGGATCACTTGGTGAATTATTTTTAATAAAACGATCACTATTTTCTTTACCAACAACATTTTCTGGTACTAACCATCCTAATACTTTTATACCAAAATTATTAATTGATGTTTGTACACCATTAATACAACAAATTAAGTGTTCTAAATTGACTCCATTTTCATTTCGATTAATTTGTATTCCAAGTTCACCAGCAATACAATAAACTAAACTGGCAACTGGTATATCACCCGTATGTGATTTTAATAATGGACATATAATTTGTCTTATTTCAGAAATTGTCATAAATACATTTGGTAATGGTTCAATTTCTTGTTCAGCCCATCCTTTATGTTGTTCCTTGTGAAAATGTATTGAACAATATGGTACACTCTCTTGTAAACCTTCCATTAAAGCATTATTTTCAATTGAATTGATTAATTCTGTATTTAAACTTATATGTTTATCATCATTTTTATCAGTTGTAATATTACAAATATCTTGCATTTTATATAAATCCAATATACTGATTGATGTTTTGAAACGTGATTGAAAAAGTTCACGAAATCTATACATTGGTAAAGTACAGTAGGGAACATCCTAAAATTAAATAAATTCATTAGTTATTTATATTCAACACCTATTTATTAAATTTGATTTCTGGTACAAAAACATTATAGCACTTATTTTACATACATGTATATTTTTTTATATTTTTCAATAATTGAAAATTACATACAGTGCATATATTTAATAAATTATAATGTCATTAATTTAAGTAACATATAACGGATCATTTAAGACTTTTCGTTTCGACATATTTATTCCATTATTTTTTAATCACCTTATAATATTCTTATGTAAAATCAGAAATTATGCTTAAAAGGTGCAGTCAAAACAGGAAGATAACAAATTAAATATATACAAAATTGTTATAAAAACCTTGAAGTCATTGAAAAATAATCGATCCCATTATTAAAATTTGTCGGAATTAACGCCGCTTAAAGAAAAACAACAATTATTGTTAAACCACAAAAATAAAGTGAAAAAAATCCTTGCTAAACCGGAAAAGAAAATTTAATTTTTTAATATCTCACACACAGATGTTGGAATTTATTAAAAAACAAAAAGAACTTCAATCATGTGTAAAAGCTTCCCACAACTCATCCAGTAAAAGAGATTTTGTATTTAAAACGCACATCAAAGTACAAAAGATGATTTATTAAATGATTACCTTTAGTAGTCCTGCTACTTGACACCGTAATGTTGAAATTTCAGTTGTTGAAGAATCTCTTGTATATGATACAACAACTCTTTTATAACCAATTTTTTTTCTATGCAAAGTCGATACTACCAGTTTAGCGTACTAAAAATGTTAAAAAAAAAAGAGAACATTAATAATTTATGAGGAAAAACATTGTATAAAAACAAACAATATAATATGCATATGTAATATGATATAATAAACTTACATATAAATCAGGAACAGTAACCTTGGCACAAGAGCTTCCTTCAAATATTAAAGAAATCACCGGTGTTATTGGTTTTAACTGGTTTACAAGAAAACCGCGTAAATGTTGTTCCTCAAGAGAATAATCAAGATTATTTATTTGTAACGTTATTGGTTGATTCGGATTATTACTGTTATTATTATTGTTAACATTATTATTATTATTATTTATTGAATTAGTACTCGGTATATCAGTGTAAGTACTTAAAATTAAATTATTAAGTTGAGAATAATTTGATGTTGACATACTCGATGATGATAATGTTGTATTATATGATTGAAAATTTTTCGAAAGTACATTATTGTTATTATTGTTATTTATTATACTTGTTTTCTTCTTATTATTACTTTCATTATTATTATTATTATTGTTATTAATAATATTATTATTATTATTATTATAAAAATTTGTTGATTCAGTTAAGACTTTATTAAAATTATCATATGTTAACGATTTTGTACAATTATTATGGGGTGCAGTAATCGAAGAAAATGATTGATTCAATAATGGTTGTTGTAATAATTGATTATTATTGTTATTAGTAAAATTTATACTACCAGTTGAATAAGATCGATTTTGATATGGAGCATAACGATTACGATTATAAATATTACCATTACAATTATTATTATAATGATTCATTGTAACTCCATTAGTATTTGTATATTGAAATTGTGAATTAATATTAAAGGTGTTATCATTATTTAAATTAGTATTTGATTGTCCTAACCATGATGGTATATATGATGGTGTTGTACTTGATAAAATACTATTTGTTGTTAAAACAGCATCATTATTAGTTAAATTATTGTTTGAATTGGACAAATTATTATTGCCATTATTTTGAGTTGTTGATGAATTTTTAATAAATGTTGAGAAATTCATTATTTCAGTATAGATTTTTTTTTTCCAGTAATATAGTATTTATGTATATCCTATTTTTTCAAAAATATTGGTTTCAACAATTCTTAATTTTCAATAATGCTGGTTGATCACAGAAATTCATATAAGACACAAATATTTTTTGCAATTCGAAGGTATGTATATGGATGGATGTATCATGTATCAAAGACCCTTGATGATGAATATTTAAAATAAGCACAGATGATAAAGAATTTTTTTCGGATGTTCTTTTGTAATGATCTAAGCAAACAGATAAAAAGAAATTAACAATAAGCTTAATTATATTTAAATCTATGGTAAAATATATAAAATTAAAGAAATTATAATTTTTTTATTCAAAATACATAGCTATAAGTAAATTATTGTGTTCATACCTTTATAATAGACTATAATAAACGAGCAATTATTAGAGTGATTGGAGGACGCGAAGAGTTATGGTAGAAAACGAATAACAGGAAATACAAACATATGTACCTATTAAATTTAATTATATTTTATAACTATTTACAATTACTACGTACATATTTATGTATTATTTAAATTAAGAAGCAAAAGTTCTCGCATATTCCAGAACAAAATTTAAATATTTTTATGTTATACTATTTTAGAATTAATTTTTTAAATTTCAATTGCTTTATTGTATCAAAACTTATTTAAAATCTTTTTTCACTTATTTTTATAATCTACTTAATTAATATTAGGCTTTAATCCCTGAAAAATTTATAAAAAAATAAATCTCGTAGGAAGCTACTTATAATATAATACGTGCTAATTAATTAAAAAAACAATAGAAAATTATTTTTAATTAAATTTTTATAAATTCAATTTGTATTTTAATTTATATTGTATGGCATATTATTATTTTATTATAATATTAATATGAGTTTGTACTACATGTAATAAATGGTATATAGAGAAAATGTTATATAGCTTGTAACTATTTATTAGATCATTTACTGGGTAAAATAATAACATGTTTTAATATTTAATTTCTGATTTATACCTACATAAGCAATAAAATTTAATTACAGTAAATAGGTAGATATTTAAGTACCAACCTACCTACACACTTTTACTTATTATAAATATATTGAAAATTATTTATGCATAAAATATGTTATTATTAGTTAAGATATTATTTACGTAAATCTTTTTTTAAATTTCCATTAATATTGTTAATTTTAGTAATTATTTTAATAAAAACCATAAAAATCATATAAGGTCCTTGAGGTTATTTTATTAATATACACATGGATCACATATGAAACTAGGCAACTATGAAGATAGATGAATATAAGATGACTATGCTTGAATGTAAATTTAATAATACTCTTGTATTAAATTTAAGCATTAATACAATTTAGTACCTCATACAAATTCTTTCAATATTTAGTAGAGTCAAATATTAACTTTAAATGTAGATATATGTAGGTACCTATAACATAAGATTAATATAATGGAGTTGTTGCAATTAATTCCAACACAATTTTTTAAATTTCATACATTTTTTAAAAACCTATATAGGTCCTTGTGTTATTATTGGTTTAAATATATCTGAGAACAGTTAGTAATAATTACTTTACTAACTGGGGAATAACGTACTTATACCGGCGGAGTTGCGATCTGTCGGAGCTTTCCAATTACTCAAAATCATCAAGGCCAGTAGATCTCGAGAAGATGTTATAGAAGCGTGTCTCACATATTGGAGTACAATAGATTCTTATATGGTGGACGCGGGGCAATGTTACCCCATTTTTACCATCTGCAAACTATAATAATTTCTTTAGCTAGATATACCAACAGGTTATAAATCTCAATTAAGCTTAATTCTCAAATAGAGAAAATTATATTATTATTAAAATTTTATCAAAATATAATAAGGCAGTTTAACTTAATGTGAATCTTTAGTTAAATTTAATATATATACATACTTATGTATGTTCTTCAATAAAAGATTAAGATATAAGTAAAACGTTTCCCGCCAAAAAAAAAAAAAAAACAAATTTTTCAACAAAATCTTACCCAAAAATGTTACCAGTGCATATTACAGCTTTTTTAATTTTTTAAGAATAATTGTAAAAAAATAAAATATTCAAATAAATTCTTACGTTTGATCATTTACAAATTCAATTAATCACTAAAAATAATTAAAATTTGTCAGTGTGGCTTTACTATTTTTTTTTTTTTCGATTTTGATATTATAAAAATAGTTAACGGAAATATTTATATATGTAAAGTTGTATTTTAAAATAATTAAAATATTAAATAGATAATACAATTAAAACACTTTAAAAAAATATTGTTTATTCACTAAATTGAATATAATTAATATATATAATATGTATATATATATATTATTGCATATTTTACAAATAAAACAAATATAGTCGGATATTTTTTATAGAAAAAAAAAATTTTTATTTTTTTTTCTGCCTTCTCTTAGAACTTTTGAAATGAACAGTGCACCAACATTACTTCAACTGATTTTGATTTTTAATTTACATTAAAAGAGTAGCTAAATTTAAATTTCGTTTATTTTTTGGCGCTCGTAAAAATAACTGTATAATAGTTAAAAATAATATGCTTAATACCCTTCTGTCACAATATGTGAATATTAAAATGATCAAAATAACTCTTCGTCAAAATGCAAATTATAATCAAAAGGAATGTGCCATAAGCATACTAGGTGTTTTAAGAGTTTTCGAAAAACTCTGAATATTCACACAAATTGAATTGATTAATATTATTATTATTTATATTAATTAATGTATAATAAAAATTTAATCAGTCTTTTCAATATCGATAAATCTTCTCGTACTATGTTTATGGACGAACATTATTTGAAATTCAAATTCCTCGAACGAACTTTGTTTCGAAACTGTACATACACTTGTAAACATATTTTGGACATTCGTGTTAACGATTAAATTACACTACAACCATTATGTTAATAATTGGAATAGCGATATTGTAAACATACAATTAATTAGAAACATATTTATGTATATACCTACGTACATATAGGTAGGGTTTTTCTGGAAATTCAGTTGTTAAGGGTGGAACTGCAAAGCAAATTTCTAATGGTACACTACATAGCAGTCACTATAAGCTTCTTAACATTAACTTATACAGTGCTGCGTATCATATAAACTATAAGTAATTTTTGAGCTATAAATTTTAAGTTTTCATATAAAAATTTTCCTGTAAAAAAAAATTGCATATTACTTTTATACAAACATATTTTTAAATATTTACTTACTTCTAAGACTTAAGCAAAATTTTGAATAGGTAGTATATCAAAGAAATTAAAACAATGATACAATATTTTAATGCTTTTAAATCAAAAGAAGTTTTCGGTTACTGAACTTAATAGATTAGACATCCTTATGGCTTAACGGATAGCAAATCCTTAATAAGTTTCATATTCAGACTTCAAATAAATGAGATTGTGTAAAAAAATTCGTAATTTTATTGCAATTTCGTTAAAATAACCAAATACTTGTACCCATTGTATATCCAATATGCATTTAGGACAGTATGACCTCAATCGCAATGAAACTCTTGAGTAAATTTATGTTTATGCATACATAAGTACCAAGAAATTTCATATTAAAATCGGCTAAAATAAATTGAAAATTAAATTAACACATTTTATTAGTGCACTACTAAAAATTCTCGGTTACAAAATTTTAAATCTATTCAAATTCTACTTTTAAAAATTAAGGACAAAACATTTACATACATAAAATATTTAGCTAAAATCAAGCGATAAAAAAGTTTAAAAATAAAGTCAAATAATAAAAGAATTGTTTCCACTTCCAGATTCAAAAGAACAAATGCGATTAGATTCTTTGAAGTAGTCATCTTCAAAATTTACATTAAGAGATTTTCCACTTTTATACTTAATACTTTCTACTGATTTCGACCTCATTCGCAACTTATTTTCTACACAACCAAACGGCGTTCTTTTGCCTCGGCTATTTTCTAAGAAACTTTCTTTTTTTGGTGTTGAATAAAAAACGTTTGTGTCTTGATATATTTTAGGACTGTTTTCCTTTGATTTTGTACTTGATTTTTGTTTCTTGTGCATATTTTTAACTCTCTCAAGAGGTTTATTTTTTGGTTTATCTAAATCGTCAAATTTCATCATATCTAACACGCTTTGTATCAACCTATCCTCACTCTCATCTTCTTCGTCACTCAAAGTTATTGGAGGAAGTTCTAAGTTTTCATTATCTTCAAAAATCAATGGTGTTCTATCAATTTGTAAAGTCGGAGAACGCGGGTCACATTCTTCTATAACCTTTCCAGCTACTTTTACTTCCGGGTTTACATTTTTAGGAAATAATTCATTAAAAGTATCTGTTTCTTCAAAAACAAAACTTCTTGATTGATCTGAATCAAAAACAATTGGAGTACGCATTATACTCGAAGTTGGAGATCTTGGATCTTTAAAAACATAATCCTGACCTTTGCCGTTCATATTAAGTTCCTACAAAAAAATTACAAAAATTAATTTTCTTTTTACAACTTTTTCAGGTATTATATGCAAGTAAATATGAAGGTAGATACTTACATTTAATGGTGTTCTCATTACATCTGGAGATCGGGGATCTTTACTGTCGGATTTTATATTTTCTTCAGAACATAATTTCTTGGAATTTTCCGCACTTCTAAATAATTTTGAGGATTTTGCACCCATTTTTAATGTTCGATTTCTTAGTTTGTAATGAACAATGATAATTTTGAACCTAACAGCTGTTCTTCGTTTTAATTTTTCAAAAGTACAATAAAATAAATATGTATAATTTATATTTAAATTTCAAATAAATAAAGTTGGCTATATTGAATGTCATCAAGTTGGAAGTTATTTGTTACCCAGCAAACATACAATATATAAAGTGCTGCCATATTTTTAAATTTTTTTTTCTGCTGTCACTAGTGACATTTACTGTGTTGAATGGGTTCATGTCCATATTGCCGGCGGAAAAATTTGTAAACAAAAATAAAATTTTCAACTTCCGAGAATTGACAAAAGTTTATTACTAAAGTGGTCGGTTTGTATATTTTTTACATTTGTTTTAATCTAATATTCCATTCTAACGTGTTTATGAATTATGTCTACAAGAAATTCATTGAATATCGGAGATAAATTTCCAAATTTTCAAGCTGAGACCAGTGATGGTCAAATAGATTTCTACGAATGGATGGAAAATTCATGGGCTATATTGTTTTCACATCCAGCTGATTACACTCCAGTTTGTACAACTGAACTTTCTCGTGTTGCAAATTTAGTACCAGAATTTAAAAAACGAAATATTAAACCAATCGCTTTATCGTGTGACTCTGTTGAATCCCACCGTGGGTGGATAGAAGATATTAAATCATATGGAAGTAAAGCAAGATTTTATTAATCAAAAGTGTTCCTACTAAAAATTTATTCTTAAAGGTTTGTCAAGTTTCAATTATCCAATAATAGCGGACGATAAACGTGAATTAGCTGTAAAGTTTAATATGTTGGATAAAGATGAAATAGGGAAAGATGGCATCCCATTGACCTGTCGAGCTGTCTTTGTAATTGATAATCACAAGAAATTAAGACTGCAAATACTATATCCAGCTACAACTGGAAGAAATTTTGAGTAAGGCAAAAGATTTAGCAAAATGATAAAACACAATTCTTTTTTAAAACATACATATTTTTAATATTTTACTAGAGAAATATTACGAGTAATAGATTCGATGCAACTTACTGATAACAAGAAAGTAGCAACCCCTGCAGACTGGAAGGTATGTAATTTTTTTCTTTAATATTTATTATTTTCAGCAATAATTTATAATCAATTTTGTAATTTTAGAATGGGGAAGACTGCATGGTTTTACCAACTATTAGAGAATCTGATATTCCCAATTTGTTTCCAAGAGGAATTACAACTGTAGAAGTGCCATCTGGCAAAAGATATATTCGGAGAACTCCACAACCAGAATAAATATTATTTTGAGTAAATTTAATCTTTGTTATGAACACTTTGATAAATAAAATTTTTTATAATTTCATTGGAATGCGATATATTAAATGTTAAAATTTCAAGTTATGATTAACCACTTACATAATCCTAGGTATGTCAAAATAATCATTAAAAAACACCACATTATTCTTAAAATTCTTTATTAATTTCTAAATGAATTCCTTATACAATTATATCCTACATGACCTATACTAAAAATCAAATCCCAACAAATATCCAAAAAAAAAAAAAGAATTATAATACCAAACCATGAAGATAACTTCAGTCTTTTTATCATCAATTAATAATTCTTTTATCATCAATTAATTCTTTTAATAAATTTAAATAAATTTTTTAATCGTTTTTCATTAACTTGAAAGTGAAGAGGAATTAAAATTTGAAACAAAAACTATTTATTCTTTAGATTAATGTTTTTAATTTACTTTAATTCGATGATTATTAGTCTGTTTTGTTTTTTTGTGATTTTAAGAAAAAATTTATACGCCATTATTTTTTGTTTTATTTGTTTCTGAAGTAATAAAATGCATTGCCCTGAGGTAGTAATTTGAACATATTTAATTCTAAAATTGAAAACTTCCGTAAAAAAAAAAATATTTAAAATTTCAATGATTTTGCAATGAGGGCGGCTGTCGCTTGAGTTTTATCACCGTGAAATTTCTTTAAATGTTCAATAACATCTTCTCTACTAAAGCCTAATTTAACAATTTCAGAAATATCGTTTTCTGTAAATTTTTCGTTTGGTGTTAATTCTGTCGTTTGCGATTGATTCAATAAAGTTGAGCATGAAGCATTATTATCAGGATCGGAACTTCCGCTACCTTAAAATCAAAAACATTTTTTTACAAAAAGATGAAACCTTCAAACTTATACGTACCACGCTCTTTATGTTCTTTTTTGCTTTGTTCTATAGCACGTTGTATTTCTCTTTCCTCAGCTGTTCTTGTTGAATCCTGCAAAGCTTTCATTTCCTCTTCTGGACTTCCAGTCAGGCGGGCACATTCTATAAAAGAATAGTAGCTATTTTTAGTACTTTAAAAATTTTTAATGTTTTTTTCAATTTATACCTGGTAAATCACTTTCGGGTAAAAATCTTGTTTCAGTTCCTGTTGTGCCGATCTTTAAGACATTATTTTGAAGGTCAATGTTGCACTAAAAACAATGATAATTGAGTAACCTAATGATATAACTACATCTTCATCTTGGTTTGTATACATACTTGATGTCGTTTTAACATGTCTAATCCTAAAAGCATGTCCATCGGTTGTTCTTCTAACACAGAAAAACTTGTTGTTAAAAAATCCTTTTCAATCTGCATTTGCACCATATGAATTCGACCTATAATGCGCTGTGTTCCTACTCCCTTCGCTATACCTTTCCATCTAAAATTTATGCATTATTTATTTTTATCAATGTATATTTTGATTAACTTGTCTTTACCTGGTATCAACCAATCTCATAATATTACAGCGCTCTGCGCAATTGGCACTCATTATTGTAGTCTGAGCACCTGAATCTATAAATGCTTTAACTGGCACCCCATTTACTTTGCAGTCAATGTAACTAAAAAACAGTTTTTATTTTAATATTGCAACTAAAAATAATAAGCAAGTTATTACAGCATGGTCACTGTTCCAAAAATTTCTGGACTGTATTCAATAGCAGCAGCCATGTTATCCTGTATATTTTTTTGTTTTATCTCTTCTGCAATCATTCTTTGAGCTTCGGTGTCAAAAGGATCTGCTTGCAGCATTCTAATTCTTTGCTTTTCTCTGTCTCTTCTCTCAGCTAATTGTTCTCTCAAAACTTTTGCGAACGTTTCCAAACTTCCAGAAAATAAAGCATCAGCCAGTCTAGCATTATTTTGTTTTAATAAAGCTAAGTGTTCTGGATTTTGTAGAAACATATCTCTTACAACAGCAGGATCATCTTCGGGACCAACAGTTATGTCTGTATCATTAGTTTGCATAGGTACACCTGATGGTTGAGATGCTTTACCTGCTGGCCGTGACGTGTTTGGAATTGCGATGTTACCGAAATCTAAATTGCGAACTGAACAATAAAAAAATTTGCAAGTCAGAAAATCACATAACCTCATCATATGTATTTCATAAAATTTCTCATAAAATACTTACCACCACCTAATAAATTTGATGATGTCGATTGTTGTTGATGATTCAGACGTTGTATTATAACGCAATCACCATCTTTAATATTGTAATCCTTGAGCGATTTTTTATTGTCATACAAAGGTTGGCCATTTGCAACCACAACAATTTGTGGTCCAGGCCATCCTGTTTCAATTTCACAAAAAGCCTTAAAGTTTTCTAACTCTAGGTCTTCAGATACATCTAAAACAAAGACTTTGTCATCTAAAGAAGCAACTGTAATTTTCATTTCCTCTATTTATTTTTTAACCGCACTGAACAAAGATGTTTAATCCACTATTCAATGATTTTTATCTCTTTTTGATCAAAAGTGTTTTGTTTGTATTATAACGAAAGAATTTATATTGTACTTAAAAAAACATTATTTTTCTTTTGTTCTTACTCCTGACTGTTGTGTATTTATAAACAGATATTGAAATTATAAAAATGTTTTTATCAACTATGGTTGTATTGCGGTAAGCAGAAACAAAAATTATATACAATTAAAACAATACGTGTGTGTACATATGTTTTTTTAGAGAAATTTTGATTTTAAATTCGTTTTGATAGAAAACCAGTTATAAAAATATAAAAAATTTACAATATCTTATATTGAAAAAAAAACTTTTTAAATGCAAATATATTTACGGAGACCGCTTTTTATAATTTACCAACTTATAAACTTATTCCACTTTTAGTTATGTTTCGAAAGTTACTTTAATGTTCCTATCTGACTCGTCACTAAAAAATTTAACAAAAAATCTCAAATTATAAACAAAATTATGTTATATGAAATATTTAATAAGTCATAAAAAAAAGACATTGAAGAGTTAAAACAAAGAAAACTTTTCAAATTAATGAAATATTACGAATTTCTTTTAAAAACTTGGTAGTATAAGAATCTTTTAAATAAGAAAACTTAAAAAAGTATGCAATAAAAAATTTAATCTGGCAATATTTTTTTTGACATTATTTTGTAGTGGTGGCAAATTTACTCTAGCGGTGAAAATCGTAAATATATTTTCTCATGTTAAGAAATTGTGATTTTTTATTTTTGTACTTATGGCTATGAATACATGTGTTTACACTGAAACTTGTCAGCTAGAGTAAAGAAACGTATGTCAACCGTTGATACAAAAGTGGTTTTCTAAACAGGTATAATGAATAATAATAAATTAAACCATTTCAAGTAGCTAGAATATTTCTTATAAGAATTTTTTGAATTTTTAAACTTTTAAATTAGTGAGTAAAAAAAGATAACAACTTCTGAATCTTGAAAATCCAATAAGTTGTATTGTAGCCCTTAAAAACAAAAATGCAATCTGCCAAATTTAGTTAAGTATTTCGGCTTCATGTTACTTTTTGTTAAAAATTTTAGGTTCCGCTCAAATACGACAAAACATTGAATTTAGATTTGCGGTTTGTAATGAAACTTTTGCTATGCGACACCGATATTTTAGTATGTGCTTCACTACCGAAGACACACATAGCCGTGCATAATCATATTTAATTATCAAATTGAAGATTTATCCCCATAATCATATTCAATTACCAAATGAAGATTTATTATGTATGAACATTGGATTTTGTATCAAAAAAATTTAAATAACTTTTTTGATGCAAAATAGCTATGCGAAGTTAATATACAATTTAAATTTTTGTGAAAATGTTTTTTCTTAGGGTAAAAAAATCAAAAATACAACTTGTATACAATCTATTTCATAATTTATTTAAATTTTAAAATAATATGAAAACAACATTACATAATTTTTTAATTCTTTTATTGATTGTAATTTTTTTTTTTACTTACATACTTACACACATACGTACATTTTAAAATAAACCACAAATCATATACATAGGTAGCCTACGAAAATGAAATTATAACGTCAACTTAATTAATTCAGCAATAGAATTCTAATTGTGGAATAGATTACTTTGCAAAATATACATTAAGTTTGGCAAATTGCCAAGGCTTGTGTCGACATTATACATATGTATATATATTTGGTGTGGAATTATGTATTTTTTAAATATGTACGAACGTATGTATATAAACGTTATTTATATTAAGTACACATAGGTAAATATTTATATATATTGGAATTTTCATATAAATTTTCAGATTATTTTTCTTACATCAAAATATTTAAATTTTTTCAGCTACATAATTGACTTTTTATAAGAAATACTAAAAAAATCAAGGCTCGTCAATCGATTATCCTAAAAAAAAGCGTACGTAATTACAAAATTTTTAATATTAATAAAAAATGGTATTTAGCACAAAAAAAAAATTAAAACAAAGCTTAAAATTCCTATTTCAGGAATATTAATGTAAGTATGCTCATACATACATACATACATACTTATTTTCGGAATGAATATTTTCTTATATTTTTTTATTAAAATTGAATTTTAAGAGTTATCAGTATTTAACATTAAATGGTGAAAACTATGACACCATTTTACTATTATAACAATAATTATTTTTTTTATAAATAAATACTTCCATAAATAGCAATAACTAAAAAAGTACAACCTGAACTTATTTGTAAATTTTGTTTTTATACAATAATTTTTTACGTATGCTATGAGCTATCCAATAGATCTTTCCAAGAGATAAAGGGCAATTGATTTTGATAACTAAAAAAATAAAATTATTGAAATCTTTATTTTAGAATGTTAATAAAAATTTATATTATTTTGTTATAATATTAGGAACCAATTACATTTATTTTAACTATGTTTTTAATTTAAAATAGCATGTAATTTGATTAAGGACCATTTTTGATTTTGATTCTAGAACAAAAATTAATGTTATAATAAGGTAATAGTTTTCAATTTTCGAAAATGTGAAAAGTCCTCTTATATATTATGTGAGTCTTGAAGTGTAAACAAATAAAGTAATAGCAGTACACATCAATTAGTTCTGGTAATCATCTTTAGACGCTGCATTTTTAATACAATGTATACACTGTATTAAAAATACACCAAAATACACCGAAAATGATCCTTATATGTATTATTAAAAAAAAAAAATTATTAAAAAATTTCAATAAAAAAAGTTACATACCAATCAGGAAAAGAAATAATCAGATAAGTAGTTTTGAAAGAATGAAAGTATATAAAAAACATTATACTATAAAATATAAAAAATAACTATAAAATAAGTCATGCAACAGGAAATATACACGTAATTTTTAAAATATTTAATTCGATTGACTAAGCCACATTAAAAATATTTCTATAGCGAAAAAAGCTCAATCTAAAAGGTCTTTTTTTTTAATTAAAAGAGGAAATTTATTTACTTGTTCCTTTTTTTTTTTTTGTTTTTTAAACACCAAATTTAGAAAAAAAATTAAAAATTGAAAATTAATATTAATCACAATAATATTTCTTTATTAAGTATGTGATTTAACAGTATTCATTACAGGACTTAACCTTCTTCCATTAACTGCTGTAGCATTCGTTGCTAATAATGATGAACAACTTTCCATACTACGTAATCTGTGTAAATTAACTGAACTACCTCCAGTAAATGTACTTGTTGTAGCCATAGTTGTACTTTTCCTAGCTGATGCTGTTTTAATACCTATTTATATACATATTTTTTATAAATATAAAATTAAGAAATTTTCAAATTAATATAAAATGTATAATACCAAACCTATCCAATACTGCATACCAGACACGTCTTTTAAATACAAATACAAAGAATACTAATACACCTTGTAATATATTTGAAAAATCACTTATATACCATAAATATACATTCTTTTGATCATAAAATATTGTACTGATTATTTCTAAAATCCATGTTATACCCATTACGATAAATAATTTTGTATTCATAATAAAACGTGTTTTATCAACAGTAAAACGTGTTTTTATAATTGGTTTATCAGCATTTGTACTTTGCATCCTTTGTATATCTTTTTTAACTTGATTACAATATTTTAATGTTAAAATGAATAATATTAAATTAAATAAAAATAATATTCCTACGGGGCCCAAGAAAAATACTAAATGTGGTTTTGAATGAGCATCTAAAATAAAAATAAAAAAAAAACATTTATATAATAAATAAAAATATATTGTAATATTATTTACATTGAAACCAACAACGTCCTTCTCCAAATTTTGGTTGTAAATCATCACTAACTAAATTGAATCTTGTCACTGACATTGTTAATAATGTGATTAAAATTGGCATTCCCCATCCATATAAAGAATACATTAAAAATCTTTTAAGTTCCTGATTACCAAAATTACCACGAGGTCTAGATGTTGAACTGTAAAAATTTAAAAAATAATTAATTAATTACAATATTAATTTTATTCTAATAAATTATTAATATATTCAATTAATTTTATTTTAATGTAATTATACATTTTGTTACACCCCGTAATTAAGAAATTGCTACTTTATAAAATTTAAATAAATATTGCACTTTACCTGATGAAGTTACTTATTCATATTTTTATAATATCAAGGAAATAAAATGTGGTATATGAAGCTTGTATTAATAAGTAACGAAATCTTTACTTAATTTTACAAACATAATTATCGTAAAGATCAAGATATCAAAGTCGTAAATAATATGCTATTTTTATACAATATGTAAGTGATAAAAATTTATTTGCACAGCATGTAAGTAAAAAAATTTTAATTATGAATTTGCACAGCATTTTACTGAAATTTTCGATATTCAAGAAGCAATGAAGTATTTTACTAATGTCAAAAATCATATAATTAAGAATTACTATTTTGAAAACTTTCAGATTTTTGTAGTGGCAATTCAAATACTACATTATTATTACTATTGAGGATAACTTCGAAATTGCAGCGATACCTGTATTAATACACATAGTATTAATATAATAATGCAACTTATAATTGTCGGATTACGAATTAATACAGAATTATACTGCAATTTTATAAGTCACCGTGTAGCTGTAAACAATTAAATGTGGTTTGGGTATAGTATAAAAAAGTTTTTACATAAAATTGAAAATACTAAGCCAAAATTTAAGTATTTCAGTTCAAATTAAATTTTTATACGTAAACGTCCTTCGAAAATTAAAAATAAAAAATTAAAATTAATATTTATTAATTGTTATTGTTAAAATTATTTACTTATCGATAATCACTTGTTGAGATATGAATTACTTTTTAATGAAAATTTTATTTTCGATATTATTTTTTTTTTTTACAGAGAATTTTTATATATACGTATATATATGTATACATATAAATATTTATAAATATCTTTGTCAATATTAATCAATTCATTATTATTGTTCAATTATAGTGAAGAAATATAAAATTTATTTATATATGTATGTAAGTGGATACAGAGAAATTCAATTAACAAAGTTTAAAAGAAATCAGTGGGTGCCATCAACACATCAAATGATAAATAATCGAATGAATTGTTCGTCATATCGATATTTTCAGACTTTCACAGTCATTTTTCAGTCAGAGTAATTATTAGTAAAGTAATAAAATTGTGAAAGGTGTTTAATTTTAATGAGTATTTTTGATTGAATCTCATAAACATACGGTATAAAATTTGAAATTATATTCGAGCTTTGACATGAAACCAAATTGTGAAAATAATTTAATAGTTTAAGTTGAAATTATGTGATTTAAGTAAATAATTGGAAATTATAAATATTTTTATTTTTAAGTTAAAAGCAATTTTACAATCACATTCCAATAACATAACTGTTCTACTTAAATTCTAAAGGTGCCTTCATTTGTTCTTCCAACAAATAAAAGAACAGTGCAAATTTTCATTAATCAATTTCAAAGTCATTATCCTACAATATTCTTATGCAAATTCATACGTTTGTATGGGTGGAATAGTGTGTATGTATTATGAAATTATAAAATTTAATTTCTTTAATAAACAAAAGAAAATTAAGAAAAAATATCTTCTATTTTACAGACGGTCATCTAAATATTTTTGTAACAACAGAAAAATAATTAAAACTTAAATATAAATAGAAAATGTTAAAAATATATAAAAAAAAATTTTTTTGTTTATTTTATATTTTATAAACAATTTTCAATAGTTTTTGAAACACAATCTTAAAAAAATTATTTTTCTGTTTTACTCGATAATATTTTATTAAATGCTTTTTGGTTTTCAAGTACAGTGCAATTCAATTAAGTTTAACCGCACAATAAAAAAAATTACTTTAAATTGCTAAATTCTATATTTTCTATATTTTCTATAATACAGAGAACAACACAAATACTTTCAAATGATACATGGACCTTAATTAATTTATAATAAATACGTACATATATTTTACATAATTTTAAAGCTTAAATTACTCATTGTTCTACAAACAACACGATTGGTTATACATACAATTTTTGCAAACGGGGTTTCACTATATTTTTTCCGAATTTCGGTAAAAACAAAATTTTTGTAGGATTTAAACCTTTTACGCGAAAATTACTTTTTTGTGATAACATAATTGAATTGTATAAAATTTAGATCAATCAAATTATTATCCGGCAATATTTTCGGTATTAAAATTTTACATTTAACAATTTCGGACTTCAATATTTGCAAAAGAAAAAATTGTGTAATAATTATGTAATAATATTGTTAAAAGCTTGCAATATAAATTAATTTAAATTGTATGGCACTGAAATTATCTCTATATAGTACTAATATAAACCTAACAATTTATCAAAGAATATTAAGGCCCTATAGATCAACTTCCCAGGTCGCAATGCGTTGTTACCTGCTGTAATCTAATATTAGAGTTAGAAAAATTTTTAAAAATATCAAAGGGTTAAATTTATATTTAATGGTTTCCACCCCCCTTGGATATAAATGCAAAATGTTAATGTTTATAATATAAAATAGCGAAATTAGATTGTAAATGATTGCGAATATGTTATTAGAGCACTAAAAATGTCTAAACACCTTTTTGAAAATATTACACAGGTGTATAGTATTGAATGAAATAAAAAAAAAAAAACGATTTTATTTTTCAGAATTCAAGAAAATTGAATTTTATGAGAATTTTTTGCATTAAAGATTTTCAACAACATACAGTCAATTATTATTTTTGAAATTAAATAATTATAAAATGAAATTTTGTGACTTCAATATTGCCATAATAACGCATATATGCATATTAATGTTACACTATATACAAACTGTTATTCTAAAGTCATATGAGCCTTGCTATAACTTCTAAATAATAATTCATTCAGAAATTGCAGTCATAGGTAATTCATGCATATAAATATATATATGTACAGTCAGTAACAAACACATCAGAATGTTATATTACTCAAACTGTCCAAATTTTCTTTTATCTGTACACCAAAAATTATGATAAAATTGAAGCCATAAATTTAGTATAAATCCAGTTCAAATCCCAAATTTTGTAACAATAAAATTTAATTTTATTATTCATAATTTTTTTATTTTTGCACATACTTATATGAATATGAGCAAGCGTATTAATAAACAAGTCCGTAAAGCCATTTAACACCCAAAAAAATGATTTTATGTTTATTACATAAAATATGTACCGTATTGTCATTTCATGACTGTAATTAATTATTATTTTGTTTTATATTATTAAATATTTAATTAATTTGCTATTAAATTGTATTTAATTAATTATACAATTGAATAAAATATCGGTAAAGAATATATAAAAAATTTGGTATCTATAACGGTAACGATATAAGATAACAGAATTAAATGAGATAGCGAAAAGCGGATTGCATATTATAATAGATAATACTCGGAAGACCACACATTTTGTGAAAGTTTTCTTAATCAACAGCGGCGTATGAATCAAAATTCCACTCAGCTGGCGGTGATATGCATAGGTGTATATTTCTGAATTTAATATGAATATATGGATATGTATATATATATATAATATGAATGCACATGAATATGTATATGAGACTACCATTTCATATTTCCTATTAATATTAATATTTCATTGTTGTTTGATATTTCATATTTGAGTTACTTTATTAAAAATTTAAAAATATTCTTTTATAAAAAAAAGTAATATCTCTTATGTAATGTAGCCGAAAATTGGATTAAGTGTTTGGGGTTCTTAATTTTAAATTTGCAATTTCAAATAAAATTCACAGTAGCGGGGATATCAGTAATTGGCATTTTGATGGGGCATTGTTTATTAGCAAATATTGGAAAGAAGAAAGAGAAAGAATAGCAAAGAGGCTGGGCATTTGGTTATCGGATGTTTGCCGAGTTCGGACATCGGGGTGGTTGAGGACGTGCAACAGGCACTCTGCGCTCTAAAAACGAACGCACAGGCAAGTGGTGCGCTCTAAAAACGAAGCAGAAAACACTTTTTCTTCACGAAGAAAAGAAGTGCAGGTCTTTGAGCAGAAGACCTCCCCTTATTAATAAGAAAATCAGTAGAATGTAGCATTAAAAGAAAAATATTAAAATATTTATATATAAGTATATCTTTAAACCTTGTAATTGCATTTATATAGTAAATTAATAAAAATCTTCTTAAATACATTTGTGTACTGTAGTTTAAGTGTATTACGAGTATATATAATAGCATGTATACTTAACATTCGTTAACTTGAGTAAATTGGCGTCAGACATAAATTAAATATTATATATGAAAAAAAAAAATCCTGTCAAATTAAATTTTTAAGTAACTTAATTAATTTAATAATACCATGTAATAATAGCTGTAAGAAATAGATTCCATAAGGGAACCACAGGTTCATTTTTTATATTAAAAGATTAAATTCCCCACAATGAAGTCATAATTTTTTTTTTGCACTCCCACCTTAATAATTCTTGAAATATTAAATTGCAAAATGTATTTTTTTTCTCTATTTCTTGAAAAAAAAATGAAATGAAATGAAATTTGTCCTTTATTAAAGTTGAAATAAATTTAAATAGTGGGATTTAAAGATTAATTATTATACGAGTACTTCTTGTTTATAACGATAAAAAAAATGTCAGAAAACATATACTTTGTGGACATTTTCATAGATGAGAATTTATAAAAGTAATTAGTAATTACATTTTGTATTCTTTTTAATATTTTATGTACTTAGTATTACAAGAGGAAATTTTATTATCCATCAAAAAATTGTGTTTTATTAAATATCCTTTAATTACATAATAACATAAGCCAGTACATACCCAAATGTTAACCAAATATCAAAGCACATTATATTCATCCATGAAAATGCTGCCATCATACTGAAATATATAAAAAACGCTTAAAAGCAATATAAATTTTATTCATTTTATATATACATAAAATTTGTATATTTAAAAGGATAATATATATATATATATGTGTATATGTACGTATAACAGTATTATAAATAAATTGATACTTACCAAATGAATAACATAATTTATCATTATTTGGTGGTGATATTTGACCAATTGCTATTCCTAAATAAGCAACAAGTAAACAAGATACTAAACATATTAAAATTTTTCCTGGTAAATTTCTTAATTTCGGTACACATATATATACTAAAAGTGTTAAGAAGAAAAATACACAGGATATTAATATTCCAACTGAATATATTTTAAATTTTATTTCGGTATTTTCTGTTGTCGATGGAAAACATACGAATGTTCCAACCTTAAAAAAAACGACACATTTGAAAATTGAATAAATTAATATTATATTTTTTTTTTAAATTTATTTATTATATTGTATTCAATGAAATTTATAATATATTAAATATATGAAAAAAAAATATTATTTATTACCTGTGTACTTTTTGGACCCTCTAATTTTTCAATACAATATTCAGAATTTGTAAATGAATTTTGTTCATCTTCATTTGGTAAATATAATGAACCATCCTTATAATTAATTAAATGTAATTCTCTTGGATCAATATTTGGATCTAATTTATAACTTAAACAATCTTGACCATATAATGTTCCATAAACTATAATTGTATCGTAGTATATTACAAATGAAAATTAAAATAAATTAAATAAATTGAAATTTTTTTTAAAATTGTGAAGTCTTTTTATAGTATAAAATAAAATATTATAGACGTTGATTTTTCTAATTCATGTTTTATGATTTCAAAATTGTCTGAGACAATATGAGCTGAGTTTTGTCATGATGTTTTTGAAGCGAGACGAATTTCATTGCATTGTTGGTACTTTTAATAAGAAAACTGTATGTAATATTTATAGGAGATAAAGCACCGAATTCTACTACATATTTGCATCGGATCATACCTGTAGTTGCTAAATAAACTAAAATATTTTGGCTCAGAAAATTGGAAAAGATGCTTACAAATGCGGACAAAAATCCAAATATGGTGGCCATCACAAAGTTTACACGACATAAAAGAAAAGAAAGAAAAAAATTATACCGCGCAAATCATCTCAGGCACTTCTATAATCTTTGACATTTAAAAATTTGACATCCATCTAAATTCTCATCAATTTTTTATTGACATATAAAATTGACAATATCCTGCCAAAATCCAGTTTTAATTTTTAAGTCAAACAGCATTAGTCAAGTCAAGCTGAACAAGACAAAAATCATTCCATTAAAATGAATCTGAACTAAATTTAATAATTGTATAGGTGATAATTACAAATTAAAACATTAAATACGGTAAAATTATGCTAAAAATTTTCATTTAATTATAATTAATTCGTAACAAATTCCAAATTGAAAATATAAATATGAATGACAAATTGCAAAAATTCACTATTTGCGCATATAGAAAATTAATTTCTTCTTCTATACATTTTACTTAGTTCAAATAAACATGTTAAATAAATAGAATAAATTCAATAAATTAAAATTGAAATCATTAAGAAAATCGTTAAGAAAACAATTATAACAATTTTATACTTTTAAATTATTTAATATTTAAAAAATAAACAAAATTAAAAATTGCATTTTTCAACTGAAATTCGCCATAAAATTAAAAATAATTTGAAAAACAATTATTTCTCATTTGATGTTTGAAATTTCATTAACAAAAAATTTTGCCAATTGGTATGAGAAGGTGTGCTTTTAGTGTATAAACGAAGCCAAAAATAAATTGAGAATTTTTGGTATTAGCAAAATGAAAGAGATAACGATAAAATTTTTGTAATTATCCGGACATCATTAAATTTAGATCGAAAAAATATAAAATTTGTTTTTGGTCAACTACAAAATTATTAAGCGGTACGAAATTGCACAAATTAACAAAATTTATTAAGTATATACGCAAACAAATTCAGACCCAGCACATTTGCTTTAAACAACTACATACATTCTTACTATAGCAAGGTAGAAGCGTCTCTACAAATTATCCTACATATGTATACTGTGTTTAGCTATCACTTAAAGTTTTACATCAAACTAGTTACATTATGTCATATCGTTCGGATATTTTATAAACCATTAAAGTAAACAAGATTTGTGTGTGCAAAGGAAATTGTGCTGTAAGTGTGTGTTAATTGTTTTACAAAATATTTGTGTAACACTTTAAATGTTTATATAAAATTTTGTTTTAAACTTTTTAATGGTTTATAAAGAGGAAAAACTATAAACAAATGTTTACATTATTTTGCTTTTGTTTATACAAACATATACATATATAGCTATATATATGCAATATATTTTATTGAATTTACTAAGAATTTTTAAATTCTATATTGTGTGGTATGTAAATGTAATAATATAATTAATTTTATTGTAATATAGGCAAAACTAGTAAATTAGAGATTTAATAAAAATGATCCCAATATGAATATTTTGTAATTACAATTTTTTATTTTTTATGAATGTACATAGGTATATACATATGCAAATGAGGAGTTTTATAACGTACGGTGAGTTTGCGAGAAAGCAAGGATTGCCTTTGGCCGTAAAGAAGTCGTTTGACAAAGAGCACCAAGATCCGAATATATTTAATACCTATGTAAAATCGGTACTTCAGTACGATTGTGAAACACGGCATATATCAATAATAAAGCACAGTCATAAATTTCACAGACGCTTCAGAATAATATTTGCAATATTCTGATCTAGAACAATAACAAACAATGAACTATATGGGCGAATACGGACCAGAAACTTATAAATGTGACTATAACAAAGAAAATGGAAAACTTTCATAAAAAAGAAAACGTAACAAGTTAGAAAGTGGAGAGTTACGCAGGCCAAATAATACGATAGCCAGGCAAGACGACGAACCACACTTAAGGAGACACTAATATAATGTGTAATTCAATAAGTAGTATAAACGATAATACACACCTTATAAAAAGCATGTTTATAACAAACTCTTAAAAATTTATTTTTCTTTTCAATTAATTTAAAGTCTTAAATATGTATCAAAGGAAACATGTAAAATATCTGCAAGTCTGTGTAACAGAGAACATGTTACTGTTTTTGAAATAATAGATCACATTTAATCAATAATATATGTATGTTAAGTGTTGTGTTTCTCATAAATCAATCGTGTTATATTTTCAATTAAATGGACATAATATGGTGATATAAATGCTATAAAAAAAGTATAGAATTTTAAATTGAATGGGATGGGTTCTTCATGTATTGTAAAAATAATTAATGAAAGTACAGAAAAATTTTACACATTTGTAGACATACATATATACGCATATGCATATTTTATTGGTTAAATAATTACATTTACGTTGATGATAGTGATACTGATGATAGTAATGAGATAATACGACAAATATTTTAATTGTGGTGTATGTTGGTTAAATATTAAACATCTACATATATGTACATTTAGTTTAGAAACTTAAAACAGATTAAACTTTTATGACTGATTAAAGAAAACAGGACAATTTATAAAATTTTTCTGGTATTTTACAATTATTGAATATACAATTACCTTACAATACAATTATGGGGAAGTTAGATAGTAACATTGATAAGTAATTTAACTGTTATGAAAATTTTGTCCGCTATCAAAATAATAATTTAATTTTATTTAAGTAAAATAAGTTTTAAATTTGAAATTTTCTTAAAATACTTTAAAATACTTTGAAATATTTTCTAAGAAAAAATACTCATGCAATAAATTATATATTTTATTTTTCGTTATTGTTATACATACAAGCATTATATAAAACTTAAATATCGAACTTATCAAATTTATTTTTGGTAATTGTTTACGGTACACATGATTCACTCATTAACCATTGTATGAGAACAGCGCCGTTTCATTAATTTTTCTACATAATATCTTCATTAATAAAATATGTACAGTTGTATAATTGCTTAAATTCAGAAATTCTCAATTTTCTATTATTATTGATAATATAATTATGTTTGTTTAATCGTACAAAAAAATATTTTAAAATTTTGGATAAGATATTTAAGAATTTTTATTAAATGATAATCTCGCTTACTGTACAATGTACACAATAATAATAATTCGCGATAAATTATATTTTAGAGCGTACGCTATAATAGTTTATGAAAAATCTCATAATATATACCATGCAGTATAATATGTAAATATAGTAGGAAAGCGGTAGACACTATACAAACATAATAAATAATAATTACTTATAAATTATTCTAATACTTATGAGTTCAATTAACAATAAAATTATTTAATAAAATTGAAAATTAATTAAAATCGCAGTAAAAGTAAATAATGTGAGCGAACAATTAAAAATCACACGTTCACCATATGCAGAAGCTTCTAAAGGCGATAAGAAATAAAAATAATGAAATTTATTGTTAAATAAATAAAAATGTGCACGTCATTATGTTGTATTTAATCAATCGTTTCGTATAAAAAAATTTATGAAATCACCGACATTACTAAAAATAACTTTTTTTTTTAAATTTTATCAAAATAATTATATCCCAGTAAGACATAATGTTATTTTTATATCCGCATATACGAACCATCCCAGCTGTGGCGTTAAAAAAATAGTGTTCAAGATACATACATATATAGGCGCAGAAACACACATAATACGAGTAATATTCTTGCTTATGGTTTAATACTATAATTATTCTAAATTTATAGAAATCTTAAAGATTCTGTAGAATATTTTCACTCTTAAAATTTTGCCCATATATTCTGTTATTTGCTTCACTCGTTGTGATGAGCTGTTATCCAAAAACTTTTTGAATGAAAACAATACCGAAATTCAAAATTTTATATGAAAAATAAAATTCTTTTCAATAATGTCTAATCAGCTCAAGTGATCAGCCCAAGATTATACGACCGTATTTAGATTATATGGAATTTACGGAAATTGACACGTTTTTATTGAAACTCAAAATATATATGAGTACCTACATTCAAAATATTTAAAAATTTCTAATATCAAAGTAGATTTTTTTTTTTGAAACGCGACCAATTTTAATATTAAAAAACTATTAAAAAAAATTTTATTTCTTTTATGAAAAGATTTTCTTTTAAATTCATAAATAAAATATGAATTTTTTGTGTGATAAAATTTTGAGAAAAAAAAAAATAAAATTATGAAGAATTTTTTTATATTTTTATATAAACATATTAATTAATAAGAATATTACGTTGTTTTGACTATAATAAAATGCAACCTACATTAATATTTTCATATTTTAAAACATATGTATCTAGTATGTATATACCAAAAAAAAAAAAAATCAGAAAATTCTTTGATATTTTGTGAAAATTAAATTTTAATTTATAATATAAGATTTTCTGTCTTAGAAACATTTGGAATGTAATTAATAAGAGTAAAAATGTATGTACATAAATTTATTAATAACAAATAATAAAAACATATGTTAAATTCAAACGAATGACTTATTGTACAAGAAAATATTTATATATTAATTTTTAACTAGTTAAGACTTAAAAGCCTTAAGATAATTTTAGGGCACTACTATATTTTGCCCATAATTTGCTCCTATCATTTGAATGTGTTCAAACAGCAATGTTACAATTTTTTTAAGAATTAGATTTTTAACTAAAAATGTAGAAGAAGAATAATGATTCCCTAACATGTACTACTTATTGTGTAAGTACAAGGTTTACGTGGCTCGCTAACGAGTGAGATATTTCGGTAGTGGCTTTGTGATTCCGATTCAATTCTCACGACTTGGGTTATAGCTGTAATACTGCAATTTGTCAGAAGCCTGGATGTAATGCTATAATGTAAGTGAAAATGAGAGTTACAACAGATATTATGGATGGATATGAGAAGATGGTCAATCTAGTAAATGGAAAAAAAAACTTACTATACCTATTTACAATTATAATTTTATAAAATATTTTACAAAACCATATTATACAAGTACAAACTCACCCCTCGGTTTAATAACATCTGATATAATTTCTTTATTAATTTTCTTATAACTATGAAATATAATATCTATATCATTATTACTTAAATCTGGTACACAAATTGCTGTACCATTATATTTAATACGTTTTTCATTAATTTTACAACAACGTGGAATACATGGAATCTCATTACATATTAAATCTTTTTTATTACAAGTTCTAACCATATATGAATATTTTAATTGATGATCAAAAAAATTTTCCGAAATTTTCTTTATTTCACCAATATTATAATCATAATCAAAAACAATTTTAAAACATATATCATTTAAATTATATTTTTTATTTAATTCATTTATATTTAATATATTATTTTTAAAATCAAATTTATAATATTTATAAAAATAATCAACTATAACATTATTATTATCATTTAATTCAGGACATTCTAATTTTTTATAATAAAATATAGTTGGTTGTTCAAAAAATATTTTAAAATAATTATTAAATATTATTTCACTATTAATACATTTTAAATTTTTTTTATCATATATTTGACCAAATGGACAACATTTTTTAATTGAATTTATTATTAAATGATTATTATTATTACTATTATCATAATTATTATTATTATAATATATTGGTGTTGATATAATTTCATCATCATCTAATTCTATTATACAATATAATATATAAATTTCATTTAAATAATATGTAATACATGATTCTTTTGTAATTATAATTGTTGTATTTAAATTTTTATTATTATTTAATTTAATAAAATTATATTTTTCACAATTTGGTAAATTAATTATATTTGATTGTATTATATTAATACCATTTATTATGATATCTTGTTGTAATCTATTACTATCATTATAACTATTATAATTATTATTATCATTTGAAATTTGTGTATAATTAGTACAAGAAAATTTATCACCACGATATGTTTGAACACCATTTATTGTTTTTGTTAATACAAAATTATTTGGGCAACATGTTGATATAACAGTACATTTAATTAAATTTATATTAAAAATACTTATAATAATAATTATGATTATAAAATAAATATTATAAATTTTTAGTAAATAATTATTATCTTTATTATATTTAATCATGTTTTTGTTTTTTTTTAATTTTTCATCAAATATGTGTATTTAATTATTATAAACACCGAAAATTTTTGATCAAATTACTGTTATCGCATAATGTTATGTTTTATGTTGAATTAAATTTTAAGTATAGCAACATTTTTATATTATGTACGGTAATTATTTTGTTATTATTAGTGTGACAATCCCTTTAATACTAAAGTATAATTGAAATGAGAACTGTATGATTCTTTATTGAAATTTCATAGCATGCATATACTCATATACATACGAGTATATGTATATAATATATACATATAGAAGAGTATAATAATTCTTGAGTAAATAATTGTTATTGATATAAAACTTATACTTAAATATTATGATTACAAAACTTTTTGAACCTTTTGCTAAATTTATATTATAGAAATATAATATGTAGAACTTTATAAATCCATTGATATTTATTTAAGTAGAAAATAATAATAATAATAATGTAGCTATATAAATATATGTATACCTAAGTATATAGAATAGTTCAGTTATCTTTAATTTTTGATACCAATTTATTGAGTTTTGATATAATTTTATTATAGCAGCCGAATTACCTATAATTTTTTTATGTTTTTTGCTTTAAATAATTTTTTTTTATTTTTAGAAATAACTGTAATTGAAAATAATGTGCAACACGCTTATATATGTATATACAAAAAGGTGTGTTGTAAATATCGCACATTGGGAAGAATAACGACAAAATTCAAGAATAAGACGAATGTAAATTATTATCGAAGGCTAAAAAACGTTGATTTAGAGCTATTCTACAAGTATTGATAAAAAACAGCTTTAAACATACATATATATTAAAGTATAATAGTAATAAAAGCAAGTTTTCGACTCTGGATTTTGACTTATGTCATTCTTCTCGCAAAAGTGCGATATGTAATATCTATATGTGTATAGATGTGTATATATAAACATAATATTAATCAATCAATCATTTTTTATCTAAAAAGCAAATTAATTTTTTTTTTTGAAATTTTTGATTGTTAAGTATTAAAAAATTTAAGAATATTTGGATTTAGTATTTTAAATTAGAGAATTAGTAATTTTAAATATGTTTATATGAATATTAGGGATAGATGTGTATATAATAGGAATTTAAGAATTATAACAGTATTGTATAACAGTTTTACATCCTGTAAATTACAATATACCCATATATATATTTTTATTTGAATTCCTAACTTAGTTTATCTTATGAGTAATCTTGGGAATTTTATGATAATTGAAATTTAAGTTGCAAAATAATTTTAGATTAATTGCTAATAAATCTGTGGCTATAAGTAAGAGCATTTTAAATATAATTAGAATTAGTTTTAAATTGTATTTTGAATTAAAATCTTTTAGTCTGGAATATTTAAAATAATATCCAAGATTTAAATTAATTTTCATAAATATTTGTAATTTCAAATCTTAAAATCGAATGGAAGGAACGAAAATTTTTAAAAAATACTATGATTATTGATACATTTTATAATGTCTTTAGTTGAATATTAGCATAAGTACATACATATACATACATATATAATATATTTTACGCTTTAACATCAAAAGAGCTAAAAATTCTTAGAAAAATTTCACTTTTTATTACTTTTTCCTAGACATTTTAGTAATTTTTTTTATGAATGGAATCAATTTTATTCCATTTTATTTGAAAAAAAAATGAGAAATAATTTGGAATACGCATGAAATATTTGCATAGTATTGGAAATTTTTATCAAAATTACTATATAGGAGTAGTGAAAACTTTATAATTCCTTATCATCTAAGTGATTGTAAAGAAATAACATCTGCTTACATTATTACATTAAAAATATACTAGACATTATAAATGTTCTCATATCTATAGTAACATTCAATGCTGAAAGCCGGGTTTTGATTGCTGCACAAAACTTTTTTAAGAAATTCTCATTTCAGTAGTCATCTATAATTACTTATCTAAATGGTTTAAAACATTAGCATTTTAGTTTTTGCGAAAAATAAGATATTTTTCCTCATAACCCAAAGTAATTTTAGCCACCATAAAAATTCCATTTTAATATGAAATTGTAACAAAAATAAATGTATGATGTTAGATTACATACATACTTTAACAAGTAATTCATTAATTTTATAGTTTGTGTATGCATGAATAACGTATAATAAATTTACATTATAAAACTTTTATAGCTCACATTTAAACATTGTGACCTAAAACTATTAATTTGTAAATGCATGTGTCAATTTCGAATTTTTAGGTAAACACAGGGCTTTACATAATAGGATGGCTAATATAACTATTCAATGTATTAGGGTAATTAGCAAATAATTTCTTCTTGAATGATAGTATACATATATAATTGTTATTAAGCAAGAATTTTATTTATAAAGTTTATTAAACACAAAAATGTTATTAAGAATCCATAAAAAATCATTTATAAAATACAGAAAAAAAAATTCAAGAGATATATTAAAAATCACCCACAGTGCCTAGTAAATTCTAATTATTTGATATTGGATTCAAATGCTATTTATAAGAAATTTTAAAAAAGTAAGGATAAAATATCGTCATTATTTTAATAAAGGGAATATTTAGAATCAATTAACAGAATCCTGAAAGTTTGGAAAATTCATTTGAATTATTTTAAATACAATATTTAAATATTCTTACTATAGAATACGAAAATATTCTTCTCTTCTCAACATTAGAATAATATTAAAAATTGTTTTTAATATAAAGAATTGATCTTCTTAATTAATGTAAATAAAAAGTAATAAAAATTTTACTTACCATGCGGTTTAATTATATTATAACTTCCATTTGTTAACATATCAATATCATGAAATTTATATTGTATATCAATATGACTTGAATCTGGAACACATATTCTTGTACCATTAATTTTAACACGTTTCTCATTTCTTTGGCAGCAACGTCGTACACATGGTATTCCCATACATATACTAGGACGATTACATGTTCTAACCATATATGAAAAATCAACTTGATGATCAATAATATCATCATAATCATATACTGATTCAATACATATAGAATTATAATCATATTGTTTATTTGTACCAATTATATTAAATGTATTATTATTAAATTGAAATTTAATATATTTATGAAAATAATCAACTACAACTGTTTTATCATTAGAACATATAATATCTTCATTAATAAATATTGTTGGCTGTTGAAAAAATTGCCTAATATGATAATTAAAATTTTGTTCGCTTTTAATACAACGAGAATTTTTTTTATCATATATTTGACCAAATGGACAACATTTTTTTATTATATTTGCTGTTATATAAGATGATGAATCTTCTAATAATTTCTCACAATATAATATATATGTTCCATTTAAATAATGTGAAATACAACTATTTATTGGTATTTTAATTATTGGTTTATCATTTGTTATTTTTATTAAATTATATTTTTCACAATTTGGTATATTAATATTATTTGTATCAATTATATTACTACCATTTATATAATATGTATTTGTAAATGTAAATGATGGATTTTTATAATCATCTGTTGTTATATTTTCATTATTATCAATTCCGCCGGAGTCTCCACTGATTCCAAAATATATTGAACGATTCGAACATATATATTTGTCTAATTCAAAATTCTTATAACCACTTATCACTTTATTTAATTCTAAATTATGTGGACAACATGTTGTTAATATAACTGAAGTATTAATTAATTGTATTTTTAAAAATATTAAAAATAATAATTGTAATATTAAATTAATATTAAATTGATTTTTTAAATAATGGTCTTTATTATATTTAATCATAATTATAAAAATATTCTTCAGCATGGATTAAACTTAAAAAATAAAACCACTTATGTAGATGCAATTTTGAATTTTCCTATACTGTATATATGTATGTATTAAAAAATTTGTATGTATATTGAGAAAATTAACCAGGAACCGTTATTGAAATGCAGATTTTAACCGTTATTTAATTTAATTAACGATGTTATTAATAGAAGAGCTACGTTAATACTAAAATAATAGGATAAAATTGAATTATTGGAAAATGATGGAAAAAGGAAAGTTTTATTCTTTCTATTCAATTTTCTTATTTTTGTTATTATTATGAGCAAAAAATTTAAAAATAAGCTTTCCTAAATGTAAAATGATGAGCTTTTCCGTTAAAATTGAAATGGATGAAAAAAATAATCTTTTATCCCGGAATTACAATGTTTAGGTTGATTTAAAGTGGAAATTGATTATGTATTCAAAATTAATGGTAGGTAATGAACCTTATTTATTAAAAATGTCATTGATTTTATTTTGATTATATTAATTCAATATTACTTGTCTAGATATTTTTATTTGTAAAGATATTATTATTTGCTCTAGTATTACCGGAACTAAACTTTGAGTAGTTAAATGTTACTGCACTTTATGAAAATGTGAAGTTCTAAACCTAATTAAGTATTTTTAAATTTTAGTGAATAAATGCAAGAATTAATGTAAATAAATCACTATAATAATAGTTTTAAATAGAAAATTTATTTTCTCTTAAAAATAAATAGAAATCTAAAACATTATTGATTAATTTCTCTTTTTCCAAAAAGTTTATTAAAAGGTAGTAAATACAATATAAAAAAAAAACAAACTATATAAAAAAAACTCAATAGTTTTTGCACTTGACGTCTAGTATTAAGAATTTTTTTGCAGACTTATAATTTCGCTGAAGTTCCAGCTGGTTTATGGAATTTCTTAGATGGATCTTTAGCCATATCAACTAACGTTTGTGCTGCCTTAAATGGTGCTCCATATAAATCAGCATATGAGTTCATTTTATCAACAAGTTTCGCTGCACCATATTGATCTACCCATCTGAATGGCCCACCTGAAAATGGTGGGAAACCAAGACCAAATACAGCACCAACGTCACCTTCTAATGGACTATGAAGTATTTTTTCTTCTAAACATAGTACAGCTTCATTCACAAAACGAGATACCATACGCAATTGCATATCTTCAACTGAATTAGCACCTTTTGATGTTAAGGCATATTTTTGCTTAAGAATTTGTAAGGCTTCCTCATTTACAGGACGACTTCCTTTACTTTGACCTTCATATATAAATACACCTTTACCAGATTTACGGCCCATAAATCCAGCTTTGACTAAATCCTGCATTACAGCTAAATTACCTCCAGAAAATCTATCACCAAAAGCCTATATATCATTAAAAACGTAAAAAAATACTCAATATTTGTTAAATATTTTATAAAATTAAATTATACTTTAGCCAAATCAACTGAAATATGTGCCCCCACATCAATTCCAACTTCATCAGCTAAAGTAGCTGCTCCAACTGGGAAACCGAATTTCTTTGTCATTTTATCTAAGTCCTTGGGGTCTACTCCTTCTTGCAACAATCTATCGAATCGAAAAATAGGTAAGTTAAAGATAATTTATTGATTTCATACAAACCTAATAGCTTCAGAAAGCATAGTTGACAAAATTCTGGTAGTATAAAAACCAGGACCATCTCCTACTGTAATAACAACCTGAAAGTGATACTCATTGATTAAAAATAATTATTGTTCCAAACTTGTCAAATTTATACCTTTCCTTGTTTTAATCCTACAGCAACTGCTGCCGCAGTCGTGTCCTGTGATGTTCCTGGATGAGTAATAATTTCAAGAAGTTGCATTTTATCTACTGGTGAAAAATAATGCATTCCAATTACTTTTTCTGGTCGTTTACTGCCTGCTGCAATTTTGGTGATTGGAATAGCGCTAGTATTTGTTGCAATTATGCAGTGATTAGGAACTACTTCTTCAATTTCTTTTATTACTTTATGCTTAATATTAATGTCTTCAAATACTGCCTCAATTACCATATCAGCATCCTTAAAATCTGCGTATTTAAGTGTTGGAATTAAGTTCGTCATTATCTTGTCACGTTCCAAACTAGTGATTCGTTTTCTTTTGATTGAGTTTTCTAAACCTTTTTGAATTTGTGTAATACCACGTGAAAGACCTGCGTCATTTGTATCTTTCATTGCAACTTTATATCCCTTATCTATGCTTACTTGCACAATTCCAGCGCCCATTAATCCAGCCCCTAATACACCAATTGCCTTTGTTTCCACTTGTGGTTTCCCGAAACGATTCTTCTTGCATTCTGTTTGACCACGGAATAAACTTATTAGTCCTTTAGACTCTGGTGTTGCTGACAACTCTCCAAATCCTTTACTCTCTGCCTCATAACCGGCATCAGGACCTTTATCTATACCAGTTCGAATTACTTCGATTATCTAAAAATTAAACGAATTTAAAACTTTTTTTAAACATTTTCAAATGTTCAAAAAAACAATTCCCATCTAACTATCATAATGCGTTAATATAGTTATGTGATGCATTAATATAAAAGCACATTCTTATGCACTTATGTTTAATTAAACAAATTTCAAAATTTTCTTTCATGCTTACTTTTAAAGGTGCTGGATACAGTCCTCCCGACATTTTCATAACTTGTTCACGAGCTTTTCCAAATACTTTATCTTTAACCCAATTAATTCCAAAAGCGAATTCCATAACGTTATTCATTAAACCGCTTTTTTGGCGATCAACCTAAGGAAATACATTTAGAACATGCACATTTATAACAAATTAGCAATAACCACATTATTTACAATCTCACAATGTTTACCTTCAATTTTCCTGCTGCTAAATCCTTAGCTGTTTGAATAGCGACTTTTTCCAAATACTGAATAGTATTTTGTTCAGCTGGTAATATGCCAGGACCCAATGGACTAACTAGTAAATCAACTAACCCTAACTTTTTGGCGCGGTCTGCTTTAACTTGTTTCCCTGTAAGAGCTAAATCTAAAGACGTTGGGATTGATGTTAACTTTGGTAAACGCTGGGTTCCTCCACCTCCTGGCAGTAAACCTAGCATTACTTCTGGAAGTCCTAAACTTGTTTTTCTATCTTTTGTAGCAATTCTGTAATGACATGCCATTGCTAATTCTAAACCTCCGCCTAAACAAACACCATTTATTGCCGCCACAACAGGTTTTCTTGATCTTTCGAGCCTATTAAACATAATTTGTGCATCGTGTGATATTTTGGTTGCCTCTTGAGCCGTTTTGCAATTTTCAAGCATTCCAATATCAGCTCCAGCAATGAAGCAGCCTGGCTTTGCAGAAATCAAAACAGCTGATGTAACTTGAGAGTTAGTTTCCAATTCTTTTAATATTTCTTGAAATTCAGCACTTATTTCTTCACCAAGTGAATTAACTTTCGCATTTGGAGAATCCAATGTTACAACTAAAACACCGTCTACAATTTTCGTCGAAGTGTGTTTTTTAGCTGCCACTGCCGCCATAGTTCTCACCAAATTTAATGTGGGTGCTATAATAAGATTTATTTTTAGTAATTATAATTTCATTATAACTGTATATATTAAAATATTTTGGGCGAAATGGTCCACAAAGTCTTTATGAATATTGACATTTATTTATTTGAATGTTGTCTTTTATTTTTTTTCGATCTGATAACATTAATAAGTAGAAGATCAACAGAAGAAAGTACATACATATGTATGTATGTAATTATAGAAAGTTTTCTCATTTTTATTATCAATGTGTCAAAAATAGGTAAGGCCAAAGTCCATTTTACTGTCTAAAATGATTATAAAACAAGTTTACATCGGAAAGATTTTACGGAATATAGCGTAAGTTATTTTGTAATCTTAACATTTATTAAGTCTTAATTGTCAAGAATAGGGTAGGTAGTCTAAAAAATCTAAGATTTTATGGTATGTACTCAAATCATGCCTCACCTTTGCTATATTTAATTCCAATCAATGAACTTTTTGCAGCTAGATTAAAAACACTCAATATCCTTGATGCAGACATTTCAACAGAATGTGTAAACAAATTAGGTTAATGGGAATTTAATACTTAAAACAAATAAAGAAAATAAATGCAAAATAAATTTATATTAAAGTTATTTTCGCCGGGATGAAAAAACTCAATCTCGCCAACCCGTTTTGCTTGCACTACATTTGCTTGCCAATTATTCAACTAGTCAAGTACACCAAGTACATTTATTCGATGTAAATTTTTTTTCCCAATAAACATGTATTAGCTCTGTAAAACTTTGACACTTGACTCTTTATTATAGTCCCATATTTCAATGCAAATTTTTTTCCGCAATTTTTTTTAAAATTATAAATTCGAGAAATTCTTAATTAACTTAAAAAAATTTCTTTATGTAATGTCAAAATATAAATATTGGCGAATAAAGGAAAATTTTGAAATTCTCTCTGGCATCTACACCTATAAACTAAGTAAAAATCATTCCCAAAAAACATCTCGGGTTATAAAAAATCTGGCAACTCTTAAACTAAAACATTTTTGGCATTTAAAGCAAATATTTGACAAATCAATTTTTTGATTATCGTACTCGTGTTTACTAATTTTATAAATTTTGATTTATTATGTGGTTTTTTAAATTAATATAAACTTTTGTTATAATGGATTCTAAATACGTTATAGTAGAAAAGTCAAATACAACAAAACTAACTAATGGTATTTTTAACGGATTCACTCTAAAAAGGAAAAATGGTACCATACCTCTTGAAAAATCGCCAAAAAAAGTTAAGAACAACGTGACTTATGTTAATGGTGGTCAAAATGATTCAAGCCCATCTAGTTCTAAGAAACACGTAAATGAAACTAATACTGGTCAGCAAAAGTCCGGAAACAATCAGCATGTGCCAGTAGCTATAAATATAATTAAGCAACGTCAAAGTTTACCAGTATTTTTATGTAAGCAGCGAATTGTTTTTGAAGTTATGAAAAGCGATACAGTGCTTTTGATGGGAGAAACCGGATCTGGAAAAACTACACAAATACCACAGTACCTGTATGAGTCTGGACATTTTAATAAAGGACAGATTGTTGTTACACAACCGAGAAGAGTAGCAGCAATAACTATCGCCAAAAGAGTATCACAGGAAAAAAGTTGTAAACTAGGTGATTTAGTTGGTTATACGGTACGTTTTGAAGATTGTTCGTCAAAGCAAACAAAAATTCGCTTTATGACGGATGGGATATTATTACGAGAAGCAATTAATGATAGGTTGTTACAAAACTATAGTGTTATCATGCTAGACGAAGCTCATGAAAGAACAATAAATACTGATGTGTTATTTGGTATAGTAAAAGAAGCTCAAAAATTAAGAAAAACAAAAGGAATATACCCGTTGAAAATAATAATAACATCAGCAACAATGGATATTGATCATTTTGGGAAATACTACGGTGTGAAAGGTATGTATCTTGAAGGAAGAACATTTCCGGTTAAGGTTATGCATGCTAAGGAACCTCAAAAGGACTATGTTCAGTCGTGTTTAGTAACGCTCTTCCAAATTCATCGTGAAGCACCCCCCAATCATGATATTTTAGTTTTTTTAACTGGTCAAGAAGAAATCGAAGCCATGGCAGTACAAATTAGATCAATAGTAAAGGTAAGAATAGTAGTCATTCTACAGATATCAATATATTGTAAGTTGAAATTTTTTTTACTCTGTATTTGTTTAAAAATAGCCAAAAAAAAAAAAATTCCTAATACAAAATAATCTTCAATTACAGTATAATGAATTAAATGCTCCAACATTAAGAGTATTTTCACTATATTCACAAATGCCTCAAAATAAACAATTAGAATGCTTTATATCAACTGGACCAAATACGCGAAAAGTTATTCTAGCAACAAATGTTGCTGAAACGTCAATAACAATACCAGGAATAAGATATGTAATTGATAGTGGGTATGTAAAGAGAAGAGTTTATGATCCTATAACTGGTATGGATTCCTTAAAAGTAGTTAGAATATCACAAGCTCAAAGTTGGCAAAGATGTGGTCGAGCAGGACGTGAATCAGAAGGTACTTGTTATCGTACATATACAAAAAGTGAAATGGAAGATTTTGAACTCATGACAAAACCAGAAATTTTACGCAGTAATATCAGTTCAACTGTATGCATTGGTCTTTAATTTAAATTCATATTTTAAGCTATTTACTTAACTATTTTAGGTTCTTCAATTATTGGCAATGGGTGTAGATTGTAGAACATTTGACTTTCTAGACAAACCCCCTCCCGATATTGTAAACAGCGCTTTTAAACAACTTGTTGCCTTAGGTGCTATTAAAAGCATTAATAATGCAGAACTGACTAATTTAGGTAAAAAAATGGTATTATTTCCATTGGATCCGAAATTTAGCAAATTATTATTAAATGCGCCGGAGTTTGATTGTTTAGAAGAAATGTTAAGCCTGGTTTCAATAATGTCAGGTGAAAATGTTCTTATTAAGCCAAATAATGAAAGAAGAGATCAAGCCGCCTTAGCGCATGCAAAATTTGAATCAAAATCTGGTGATCATTTAACTTTGTTAAATATATATAAAGCATTTTCAAAAATTGAAAAAATTCGGGTAATTTTTTTTTTTTTTTGGTATTAAAAAATATATTTTACATTCAATGAAAAATTTATTTTTAGCTTTGGTGTACCGATAATTTTCTTAACTGTAGAAATCTTCTTTATGCTCGTGATGTACGCACTCAACTTGAAGAAATATGTAACAGATGTGAGCTAAAAATTACCAGTTGTGGTCAGAATTTCGATAAAGTTCGAAAATGTTTATTATCCGGTTTATTTAGTAATATAGCAGAATTTCAGCAAAGGGACAATTGTTACTTAACATTATCTAGTCGGCAGCGTGCAAAGGTTCATCCATCAAGTATCCTAAGTGGAAAATCAAAATCAAATTATGTAATATATAATGAAATCGTAACAACTGATAAAAATTTCCTAAGACTAGTAACTGCCATTGAACCTGAATGGATTGAAGAAGTTGTACCTAATTATCCATTTTTAAGTAGAATACAAAAATCTTTTAACTAATAAAGATTTATAGTATAAGCAATTATTGTAATTATAAAATATAATTTAGTATTTTTTTTTAAGTTCTTAGATTTTTACGTACTGATTTTATTAATTAGAAATATTGAAATAATAACAAAATGCATTTCAAATAATATTTACATGTATATATATATATAAATATGAATTTATATATGCAAAAAAAAAAATGAGCATTAAAAATTTATTTAGTGTAAAATAATATTAAGTTACTAAATAACATAATACAAAAGAAAAAAAAAAGAAATCAATGTAAAATTTAATTTAGAATCAAAAGAAAATATTGTCAAAAAAAAAAAAAAAAACAAATTATTATTTAAAATATTTGATTCTTGTTTTTTAAATATTTCGTTAAGTTCGATAATGTAATTTTTATAAATAATAAAATGAAAAAGAAATAAAATTAGAGTATATTAATATTTAAATAATTTTTATGTAAAATTTTCATTGATATAATGATAAGCTGATTAATGCAAATTAAGCTTTCATTAATAATAAAACAAATCTGTAAATAAAATTCATGTAAAAAATTTGTCAATTATATTCAACCAAAGACTATGAGGTAATGAAAGACTTTGTATCTAGTTACTATAATAGCTTTTTAGTTCATTTTTTTTGACATTGTTAGCAAATGATTGTCTTAGTTGAACATGAAAACGTTTCTTCATCATATCGACAATTTAACAATGTTTATAAATTTTTTTTTGTGCATGAATTTATTTTATATTTTATAAATTACATGTGTAATATGATACTGAAAATCTTAAATATATGACCGTATTCTGAAATATCATCACTTTAAATTTTTATATTGGTTTATACTTACTAATTTTTTTTTTTTAATGAAAGAAAGCATGCTGCAATGATTTGTTATTTAGATCAATTGAAATCTGTTCCAAACTATCCTGCATTAAACAAAATGTTAAAAAATGTACAGTATGGAAAAATAAAATAATCAATATTACATTTATTAAATTTCGAATAATATGAAAATTACAGATCGGATATAAGAAGTTCTAATTCCAAATACTTATGTAATTTGTTTATTTTGAACGAGCAAATTATTAATATTTGACGAAAATATTGATATGCATTCACGAGTATACACTTTCTTAAATTCTAAGTCAAATGCGTATTATTTTTACATTTTTTTTTGCATAAATTTAGGCTAGCACTTTAGAGAAACGACAACACTATAAAACACATACTGTTTTTTTTCCAATTTACTTATTCTTTTTTTAATTTAAATTATGAATGACAAGTTACCGAGTTATAATTAAAGCTTAAGAATCTAGTTTTCAACTTTATACTTTCAATATTTTTTAATATAACACATATGTATGTACAGCTGAAAAATTGATAATTTATCTTGGAAGAATAAGTAATTTAAATCTGGTAAGTGATTATATAAAACTTTCATTTAAAAACGCGTGAAATTTTGGAATTATTTTCAAATTATCTGGAAAAAGGTTAAAATTTCTATTATTAAATACCTACAGACGGGTTGGAGCAATTTCTTCTAAACCACCACCTTACTATCAAAATAAACCCAATAATTTGTAATGGCGGATAGTTATAATTGAGCCACTATACAAAATTGGCCATAATTGAGCCAAAATGAACACGATTTGAGGCCAATTTAAAATTTTTTAATTTTTCTATTTTTGAAAAAAATCAACAACCTTTTATTTTTTGTTATTTTTCCAATTGAATTACACATTTTTTTAATAGGATTTTTGTATTCTCATATTATTATCTGAACTTTAAAAGCTTTAAAAACAAAATGAATTAATTATGATTAAATTTTTTAAAAATTTTTACAAGAACGAAAAAATTCTTAACACTCAAAAATTACATTACATAATTTTATTGTACATATTTGTAAAAATTCTTTAATATCTTTTTGAATTTAATTATTTAATATTATTCATTATTTCATAGTTCATAGAAATCAGAAAAATTTAAATTTAAAAATCACACCTTAACTCTTATACTATGTATGTAATTAAGAGTATCTTCAGAATTGCATCTACGACGTATCAGACACATTGTATCTGATCTGATCTGACATTATCTTCGAAAATATCAACAAAAAAAAAAAAAATTGACAATATGTTATGCTCAGAATTTATTTGATGTTGAGTTTGCGATATTATTAACACTGAAATATTTTTCAAATTGTGTATCCAAAATTTTTCTAGATTTTGACAAAATCGTACACTTAACTCCGACTTGATGATTCCGAAGAACTCCAAAAAATTTACAAATAATATTATCAATCAAAGTCTTGAATAAATTGAAAAATTTTGATCATTCTCAGTTTACTTTCGAGAGAACTTAATTAGGTTATAAAATTTGGATAGCCAGCCATTTACTTCTCTCACTTGGTGAGTAATATAGCGGAGATACACGACGATCACGTCACGCCTTAAATAAAAGTCTCTTGCTTTTTGTATAATTTAAGTTTCAACAATTTTTATTTATTATTTTTGTTTTTTTTTTTTATTTATTTTTTAAATCATGTTTTTCAACTCGATTTTTCTCATTTATTTAATATAAATTGTATATACATATTTGTCTATACATATACAAATATACATATTGAGTATATATATATATTTATAAATTTATATTTATATTTTTTTTTATATAAATGAAAATTAATAATAAAAGTATTTTCTTTTTTTTGCAATGCTTTTCAATTTTTTTTGTTTTTGTTTATTTAATTTTTTTTCTTCATCTATTTATTTTATATAATTATACAATCAATTAATTTTTTCCTAAAAATAATATTTAATTTTTCTTTTTTATATTATTATAATTATTATTAATTATTCATATTTTATTTTGTTTTTCTTTATTATTTATTAAAATTATATAATTTAATTAAAATGAAATAACATTTTTATTAATTTTTTTTTTTGTTTTTAATTAAATTGTCCTTGTTTTATTTTTCGCTTACCATATTTCTTCTTCTTTTCTGTATTTTCGCTACTTAAACATACAAAAACCGAAAAAAAAAATAATTATTTTTTTTATAATATTATTTAATTAAATTTTTAATTTTTTTTTTTAATTTTGTTTTATTATTTTCATTATACAAATTAAAAATTTATAAAAATATAATAAACAATTTTTTTTGTAAATGAAAAATTCATTTTTAATTTAATTTTATTTTTTTTTTGTTTAAAAACAGTCATTCTAAATAGACTAAAAATTTCTTTTCATACTTCACAGCATTTTTCATTTTAATTTGTTATTAAAAATATTTTTTTAATTTTTTAAATTTGAAATAATTTTATTAGCGTTATTGAATTTTTTTAAATTATTTTTAATAAAGTGAATGATCATTTATACATACTTAATATTTTTAATGCCAATAAGAAGAGCCATTAAATATATTTATAAAGCAAATTCGTGAAAATTAATAAATCAAATAGTTGAATTATTAAAAATTATAAGTAGTGTAAAATATATTTAGGCGTTTTCATAAACGTCAAGCAGTATTTTGAAAACTGCATTTGATTTGTGTTCATAAACAAATTTTGCTAATCAAATGTATAACAAATATGGCTAATTTTTCCCAATAAAACGAAATATATATTAGATATGAGTAGCGCAATTAACTATGAACTATTTTGATTTTATAGAATAGTTGAAAATAAATAGAATATCCATGACGTTATTTTTTTGTGTAATATTACGTTTTACATTTATGCTTTTGCAGTATGTATTTCGTTTATGAAAATTTCTATTGTGATTTCAATTTCTATTGAGAAAATTTTTCTTACAATAACTATTCAATGGTACTAAAAATAATAAGTAACTTTGATTTATTTAAAGAAAATTAGTAAAATAAAAATAATTAGAGTTTAGAGAAGGTTTTTTGAAGTTACCGTTAATAAAATAATTTATTTTTCAAAGTAAAAAAGAAAAATTATTTTATTTTTAAATTATTAATTATTGCTTATTATTAAATTGCTCGGATTTGTTTGAACTACAAGAAATTTTTAAAAATTTTTTATTGACAGTTTAATAATTCAGAGTCATCTGATGGGCATAATAGGCACTATGTATAAGAGAAAAGCAATCTTAGTCAAAATTATTTTATTTTAATATTTTAATTTAATAAAATTTTTGAAAAATAATTTAATTATAAAAATTTAAAAAAAATGGAATTCTAATTAATGCTACATTAATGGAACTCTAAAATCCTTGGCTATTAATTAGATATTTTTTGTTTTATTATTAAAAGTATGTATAAATGTATTAATACACTAATTATTATTTTTATTTATTAAATTAATTAATTATTAAAATACATTTTAAATTAAGTATTTTTAAGTGTTTTTCTCTCTTGATTTTAATCCTGTTTTTATTTTTTAATTTTATTTTATTTTTATTTAAAAAATAGATAATCATATTTTATATTCTCGTATGAAATTTTTAATTAATTATTTCTAGAATGCTAAAAAAAAATATATAAGAAAAATAAAGAAAAATAAAAGAAGAAGAGTTTTATTTTTTATATTATAAATTAACAAAACAAAAAAAAAATAGACGTATATAAACCAATGTTGTGTTTTTTTTTATAATTTTCACCATTATTTTATGTAAAATAAATGAAAAGAAAAATTTCATACTGATTAAATATTTAAAATTAAATTTAAGTTTAATTAAAATATTTTTTGGGAATTTCTTAAATTTGTTAAAAAGTCAAATCCATTAGAAGTCAATATAAAACTTTAAAGTAGAAATAAAAAAAATAATTTACTGCGTTATTAAACTTTATAATGCAATTTCAGTAAGATGCCAAAATTTATAAATAAGAAATAATCTAATATCAATTATTAATAATTTCTGAATTAAATAGATTTTTTTAAATTGTTATAGGTCTATTATTCAATTGTTATAAGTGTAGAATTCAATTTAATAATTGTATTCGAATATTTTTTCTAATATTTTTTTTTTTAAATAGCATTGAAAAATAATAAAAATTCACAAAACAAAAAAAATATATTTCAAATACAAAATTTAAAACATTAATTGATCATTTTGGCAAATAAGATTAAATTAATTTTATTAAAATTAAATTAGGATTTAATTGACTGCATGAAAAAATTTATTAAAAAGTATTCTAAATTAAAATAAAATGGTATTTTAAAAAAATACCCACTCCTCTTCTATTAGTCGCTCCACTTGAACTAATTGGAGCTCTTGAACTAGTATTATTGAAAAACCATTATTTTCAATATAGAATTTAAAATTTTGAATTAAATTTTATTAACAAAATTACAAAATTTATGAGGAACAACCCATCCACGTCAAATTATACGAATAACAGATTGTTTAAGATTATTTTAAAATATTATTAAAAAATTGGAAAAAAAAAAATTTTAATTTTCACAAAACAAATCCAAACTATATATTCACCATCTCATAATATATTTCTGTACATATTACAAAAAAAAAATAAATAAAAAATTAAAATAGCAGCACAATTAATTAATTATTTTTCTTTTCACAAAGACAAAAAAAACAAACTCATATTTTTAATTTTTACATAAAATAATGGATTTAATATTATCATTAAACAAAATAATTAATTATAAAAAAAAAAAATAATAACATCTTGTTCTAAATCAATAAAATAAAAATTTTAATTAATTATTATAATAAAATTATAGTATTGTAAATAATAATTTTAATAATAATAATAATAATAATGTAATTTGAATTTAATTTATTAAATATAATAAATTTTGCTTCTGCTTTTAATTTTCTATTGTGAAAATAATTAAATTTTAAGCGCAACAAAAATTTTTATTTTTATTATATGCACTTTTATATAATTAAGTATTAATTTTTTTTTTCTATATTTTATTTTTTTATTTATATTAAATAGTGAGGAAAACAACAATGAATAACGAAACTAAAAATTAAAAAAAAAATACATACAATTTATAATTAATTAAAATTAATACCAAAAAAAAAAAAAATTACATATTACAATTACAATTATATTTAAACTAAAATAAAATTTGTAAAATTTATTGAAAAAAACAAGGAAAACAATTTATATTTTTTTTTATACTATTTAAATTATATTATTATTTTTTTAATAATTTTTTTTGTTTAATATTAACTTATTTTTATGTTTTCATATCGATTACAAATGTTTTATACAATAGGTGTGTAAAATAAGACATAAACTATTCAAATAATTTGTTTTTTTTTTATTTAAAATTAAAATAATTATTTTATTAAATTTGTAAAATATTTATTTTTTTTTTTATGTACATATTTATTTATTTATTTATTGCATAGTTTAATATTTAATTTTAAATTAATGTACATAAATTTGTGTTGATTTAATAAATTTTTTAATAATTGTATTTTCAATTTATTTTATTGTTATTTTTTTAATTTTGTGATGAAATAATATTAAATTTTTTTTTTTAAATAATTCCAATTAATTTTTAAAAAATATAAATAATATATAAGTGTACATTTTTTTTTTGTGGAAAAAAAAAAAGAAAAAAATGTTATTAATATTGAAAATTTTTAATAAAATAATTTTTGTTGTTTTTTGTCATAATATAAATATTACAGATTATTTTTGTATGGTTTGTTTTAAAAGTGACCTAAAGTCCATCTCTTCTATTTCCAAAGAAATAATATTCTCAATAATTGAAGCTGAAATTAATATTTTGCTGAATAGGATATACCATTTGGTTATAGGATATTTACTTGATTACTTTAAACTTCAAACGGGGCAATATTTCAATTTTATTTGAAGTGGACCCCAGATCACTTTCAAAATAAACCATCTAAAAAAAATTTTTTTTTTTTTTTTGAATAAAGAAAAATCTTAAAACAAAAATATTTAATTAATTATTTTTTTTTTTTTTTGAAAATTTTACAATTTAGTTTTTCAATTAATTTTTCTATTATTTAAATGAATTATTTTTGAGTTTTAATTATATCAAAACATTTTTATAAAAATTTTAACAATACATTTATTTTTTAATAAAATTATAAATATTTCGATTGCATTAAAAAAATAAATAATAATATATTACAATTTCTTGTTTTATTTTTTTTTTTATTTTATTTTTTTCGAGAATATGGTATGCTTATAGTTCAAATTTATTGCAATTCACAATTAATTTAATAAAAAAAATATTAGAAGAACCGTAAGACAATTTTATTTAAAAATAGAAAAAAAAAATATATTAACATTTTTTTAACTCATGTAAGTAATACAGTGACTGACGACTATCTAAAAAATTTAAAACTATGGAAATGAAATAAAACTTTAAATTAAGTTTAAATCAAATTGATATATTACAAATATATATATATATATATATATATATATATATATATATATATATATACATATAGAAATTGTACACATTAATTTATTTATTTATTTATTATTTATTTCAAATTGTTCATTTCAATATATTTAGAATAAAAGAAATTTTTGATTTAAATTAAATTATTTATTACCAATTACTACTCGTATAGAATAATAGAAGTAATAAAAATTATATTTAAAATTTTCATTTAAAAAAATATTCAAAATCTTAAAATTTATGAATAATACAATATTTATTTAAAATTAAGGGTCATATTTTTTATAAATCATTAATAAATAAAAAAAAATTAATTTTTAAATTCAAATAATAAATTTTTGCAAAATTATAAAAAAGTATTTAAGAAATATTTTCATTATCAAAATTATTTATTCAATTGTACGTTTACAAAACTGAGACAAACAAAAGGATTGATTTAATTGGGTGTAATCGATAATGTAAAATACACGTTGAAATCTTTTGCATCTTAATCAATATTGCAATTAACAAAAGCATTATAACAACTTCAATGATCAAATTAATGTTATCAACAGGATATTTACATTTATACCGTAACTGATAGTGCAAAACAAAAAACAAATGTCACGTAATTAATAATGTTAATTAAAAAATTTTTTTTTTTGTATTTTTATAATTTTAATTTTATCTAATTAGTTCTAGAAATATTCAAAACAAAAATTATTTCTGGTTAAGGCAGTTGTCGAAAGTTGATATACAAAATAATTTTTAGAATAAATTATTGATTGCAGGTTGTTGGTGACACTCAGATGCAATAATTGTTATCGACTGACATTTGATAATATCGATTACACTATTGAAAATTAACAAATGACAAATAATTAAATAAATAAATAAACAAATATATATATATATATATATATATATATATATTATATATGTATATATATATGCATATTATGTACATATAATGTATATAAACGAGAATTTATTTTATATTGCTGTGTTTTGTCTAAAAATTTTTAAATTGAAATTTTTTAATTTTTTTCTATTTCCTCTAATTTTAAGCTTTTTTTATTTGTTTTTCTTTTCAAATTTATTTTGCAACTGTTTTGTTAAATTTTTTTTTTGTCTGTTTTGTCTTTTATTTAAAATTTTCATATATTTTGTTAAGAATTTCAGTTTTAAATAACATTTTTTGTTTTTGTTTTTGTCTAAAAATTGATTTTTTTTTCTAAAACTATTTTTTAAATTTTTTTTTTTTGTATTTTTTTTTTTCTTTATGATTTATTAATTTTTTTTGTTTTTTTCTTTTTCAATTTATTGTTATGTTGTGTTGAATTGTAAAATTGATCGTGTTGAGCTGACCGTAATGTTTGATAGTACAGTGGTGAAATTTTTATTTATTTTATTTATTTTTTATTTATTAAATTTATATAACATTTATTTCTATATTTTTTTTGTATCATATACTTTTAGTTTTGAATAATTTTTGTTTTTTTTTTTTTTTAAAGTTGTAAATTATTTTTTATTTCTGAAACGATAGAAAATAAAAGTTGCTATTGTTAGTAAATTTTTTTTTAAAGAAATAAATTGGTGAAGCAAAAACTTTTATTTAAATAAAATAAATTAAAAGAAAAAGAAGGAAAAAGCAGAAAATTAAACCTAAATTAACAAAATTTAAATATCTATTTTTTATTAAAAATTCATTAGAGAAAAAAAAAATACTAGGATATCGAAAAGCGTAAATAGCATATTGCTTAAAAGCCTGAAAACTCATCAAAACTAATGTGGAATTGGAGGCTAAGGGCTTATGGGAATAAATCTGAAATTTAGATAAGTTGATATATGTATCTTGGTTGTCTAAAAATACTGAACTTTTTAGTATTGTTTTTGAGATAAATTGGTTTTTCTTTCTTTTTGGAAAATTCATAGAGAATTCTTGGATTGTTTTAAGCTCGAATTGTTGGCTTTAATTTCTTTAATAATTTAAATTGCTCCGTTTTGAATGCTGAATTAAATTGGTTTAAAAAAGAAAGAAGGAAGAATATGCAAAAAAAAAAACATTTCGTTTTACAAATGCAACAATCAAATGAACTAAGTAGCACAAAAAAAACTAGGAGCAAAAAAAAAATCTAAATTGATTTTGGTTTTTGAAAAATAAAGCAATCTAAATTGTAAATGACATAAGAGTTTATAACTTTATTATTAGATTTTCTAATTATTTTAGTACACGACTAAGTAAGCAATAAAATAGTTTAGTTATTTCATTTTTAAAAGTGTCAGTAAAAAATATGTTAGTAATTAAATTGTATTTTTTTTATTTTAAAGGTCAACCAAACCTATTCAAAATGAATTGATTTTTTAAAAAGGTGTTTTAAAAGTCACCAACCCTGTTCAATATAAATTTAGTTATTAAAAATTACATGTCTTAAATCGTTAAATTTTTACGAGTTTTCTCATTTTTTTATGATTTAATGAATTTTTAATGTTTAAGAACAAATTTTTTTTATAATTTTAAACTATATACCTATAATATAATAATATTTATTAAATGTAAAAAATTTAAAGCATTAAACTTAAAACGCCGTTTAAAAAGTAGTAAAAATACAAAAATGATTTATTTAAAAAAATGAGAGAATTACAATAACGATGAAATTAAAATAATATTTTGTAATCAAATTTAAACAATGTTTGTGCACATTAAACAAAAAATAGAATTATCATTTTTACAATATTAGAAATAAATTGGATTAAATTTTTTTTCTATTTTGATTAATAACTAAGTTTAGAGGTTATAAGGCCTTGAAATTTTATTAAATGTTACATATGGCTTAAAATAATGATAATGATAGCGTATATTACTTTAAAAACACAAAATAAACCAAATTATAAAGGGCCAAATACAACATTAAAATTCTAAGAATTTAACAAAAATATTAACAGAATTATTTTAATTATAAAGTTAACATAAATTTAAACATAAAATTGACAAAATAATTAAGAAGTAAATATTAATAATTTTTAATATAATAAATTGGAAGAAACCATCACCTTTTATTCTTTTTTTTCGTATTACAAACTGACCTACCGCATTACTCTATCCATAAGCGTATTTATTCGTGTTTCTGAAAATCCAGGAACTAATTTATGTATAATTTCTTTTATTAATAGATCGCTAATTCCAGGACTGGCTCTTTCAGCTAACTCAAAAGCAGTTTTTAATTCAACTACATCCACAGGACTTGAATTAGATGAATAATAGTATTTACGTTTAAGCTGCAATCAAAATAAAAATAAAAAGTAATTAATATTTGAAATAATTTTATTAATTTTTAAAAATTTTGGTGTATATAAATTTAGAAAATTACCTCCGACAGAATTGGAAAAATAAAATTATTGAGGCACGGACTATTTGTCTGAGCAATTCGATTGGAAGCATCTTTGCTACTCGGTGATAATTGATTACCATAATTATGTGATGACATTGAGTTACCACTTGAAGAGTTTCCATTATGGCTAGATGTCGCTGTCACTGATGATGTTGGAGACATCGATGATCTATTCGCAGACGATGATGACGCAATTGTTGGCGATTGTGGAGATTGCACTATTTGTGTTTGATGATGCTCTTTATCACGTCTTAATAAACTTGAACGTTTTTCTTCTGATAATTCAGTATTTCTAAGGTCCAAGTGAGTAAACTACAAATTAAATTATTTTCAATTAGGTTATTAAGTTGGGTTTTAATAATAATTTTTAAATTACATCTTTTGATGTTCTATTGTCTCTTGTCTCCTTTTCCCGTTCTCTATCATCTTGATGTAAGTCTCTTTGCTGCTCTAATAATAATTCCTTATCTCTATCTTTATCACGTAATATTTGTTCCTTTCGACTTAAAGAGTTATTGTCCAATACAACGGAAGTGCTACTACCCGATGATGATATTATTTGCGAAGGCATCTCTTTATGAGTTGGAGATTGTGGACTACCAACTAATGTATTACTGGATGGTGATTTTTCAAGTTGCCCACTACTTGTTGATAATTTATAATGATTTAAATTAGTATCTCTACCATGAGAAGGCTGTTGCTGTTGCTGCTGCTGTTGTTGTTGCTGCTGTTGTTGTCCTATATTAGGATTATTAATACCAGGTTGAATTATACTAGTTGAACCATTTTGATGTTGAATTTGTGGTTGTTTTGTATTCGTTGAACAGAATATTTCCGAATGATGATCAAGAACTGATGCAGCTGTTGATTTATTATTTGTAAAATTATTATAATGCATTCCTTTAACGGTCATTATCCATGGTTCATCCATATCACTATCTGGTTTAGATTCCTCTCTTTAAATACATTCAAAATAAAAAAAATTATCATAATGGAAAAAGCAAAAATTTTCTACATTTTATATAAATATTATCTAAACTTACGAGTCAGAATTTTCGGATTCGGTTTCACTTTCTTCACCTCTTTGTAATTTCCATTTCTTATATCGATCAATTAAATCAATTAAATAAGAATTCTTCTTTGCTTTTTTAATAAATGGAAATTTTAATAGTTCTTTAGCTGTCGGTCTCTAAAATTGTAAATAAAAAATTCAAATACAAAATTTAAAATACAACAAAAAATTTAAAACGTTTACATTTTCGGGATCTTTATTTAGGCACGCTTCAACAAAATCCTTAAATGGTTTCGTATAATTTCCAGTCAATTGAGGTGGATTATTTTTCGGTATTAAGAATAGTACACGCATCGGATGTAATTCTGAATTTGGTGGTTCACCTTTGGCTAATTCAATTGCCGTTATACCTAATGACCATATATCAGCTTTTGAATCATACATTGATTGTTTTATGACTTCTGGTGCCATCCAAAATGGAGTACCAACAAATGTGTTACGTTTTGAAGTTGTATTAGTGAGTTGGCCAGCAACACCAAAATCGGCTAATTTAACATCACCCATTTCACTTAAAAGTACATTCGCCGCTTTAATATCTCGATGTAATTTACGTTCTGAATGTAAATAATCTAAACCTTTTAAAACTTCACGTAATATTATGGCGATATGCATTTCTTCAAATGAACCTGCTTTCATAAGATCTAAAGCTGAACCACCACCCAAATATTCCATAATAATCCAAAGTTTTGTTCCCTATAAAAGCAAATAAAAAATTTTGTTTTGAATTGTATATATAATAAAAATGATTGTAAAATAAAAACTATTGGAAATATTTTTACATTATGCTTAGGTGAGATAAATTTAATCTTCTGTTGAAATTGAAATAATGCCTGAAACAATCATATAAAAATTGGTCTCACAGTTTAAATTTTAATTCAGAATCGGATTTTTTTTACCGGGGAATCATTAGAAATGCTAACGTAATTTAGATCTTTCCTACTTTTTATTATGCAATATCGTATCACATAAGATACCAAATAGTTTCCGTAATTTATAATCTGACAATGAAATGAAATATTTCAAGTAATTGCATTCGAAGAGAAATAATATTTATCTAAAAGTGAGAGAACGTCAAACATTCTCGGTGAAGCGCTCTAATCGGCAAATATATTAAAAAGAGAAAATTCAAAAAATAAATATTAGAGAATTTATGTGACACGTGTGAACTTTTACTCTTCAAAATTTACGTGAAATTGTCTACTTTTTTTTCAATTTAACTCATGTCAATAAAAATCGTATGTGGATCCATTAAAAATACAATTGTTTTCAAAAATTTCTACATTATATCCTTCACATTTCTATCTTTTTTTTAAAGGTTAATAACGTTTATTATTATTTTTACATTATTTTAACCTTGACCAAAACACTATTAAATATATAAATTCTTAGAACAAGGTTGTACGACTTATAAATATGAATGTATGTATATGTAATTGTGTAAATATACTGAAGAAGAAAAATATCATTATTTATTCGCAATATAATTTTTCAAAGGAAAAACACAAATATTAAACGTTCTTTGAGAATTAGAAGGACAAAAGAAAATATGAATAGAAAATTTTTCATTTTTTAAAGAATGAGTTTTGCTTTTTCTGGATTTCATTTAAATGCAAATAGACATATCCCTTACATGTCGAATGCTGTTGAAACATAGACAATTTTATGTATAAATAAGTATTTAAATAAAAATAAAAGAAATAAATTAAAATCAATCACTTTCATGTGGTTTTCCATGACAATCGAATATATTATAAAAGTTTGTTGTTCGAAGAAACGGTTGTCGGTATTTTGTAAAACAAATTTTACGATATTACGACAAAGTTAAAATATTAATTTCTTAAGATTTATATTTTTTTTTTGTTCTTAGTTATTGCTAAATAATATCATTGCATATTTATGAAGGTCGAAGAAAGCATTATTATTTATTATAACATATTAATATGGAATAAACAACAGTCTGGGTTTATGAGCAAATATTTTTTTATTTATAAATAAATTTTAGTGAGTAATCAATGATATTCTTTAATGATTGATGATCAGAAGTTAAACATATACAATATAGAAGCATACGTGGGAAGAGAGATACGAGTATACGTTAGAAGAGAGGCATACGTGGAAAGAGAGGCATACATGGAAATAGAAGCCTACGTTAGAAGAGAATACGTGGAAAGAGAGGTATACGTGGAAAAAAGGCATACGTGGGAAGAGAGGCATATTATAGACGCATAATATAGTGCGTATTGCAAATTTGGGTGTTCGACTGTATTTATGGAGATAGAATTAAAAACAAATTTTAAAATAATTATGGAAAATACAAAATATTTTTAAAATGATTTTTAATTACATAAAGAAATTATCATTCAAATATTTTCATAAATTTTTTCAAATTCTCTATACCTAATTAAAGAGATAATTAGTAATTTTAATAACACTATCATCATTATCCATCAACATCATTTTGTACAGAAAATTTTCTGTTTTCGTTTTAATGAATTTTTTTTTTGATTTCAGCTGTTACATGTTAACTTTTGCCATTCAAAATAAATAGTTTTCATTTACATGTATTTATGTAAATATATTGTGTATATGAATGTCTACAAAATACTGTACATATGTTGTTGTATATGTAATTTTGCTTTAAATAGAATTATAAATGTTCATAACAAAAAGAAAATCAATAACAGATGTTTACATTTAGTTATTACTTATATAGACATTTTAGTTATAGAAAATTTAAAAGTTAGAGAATATTGAAAAGTTTTTATGAAAATTTTTATTTGTTTTTAGTTTAATATTAGTAGACTTATGACAATTTTAAATTGGAAATGTCATTTAAAGAAGTAAACGTTAAAAGACCATGATACACGTCTTTCAACGTTTACAGCATTTTTCTTAATGACCGTAAATTTCAAATTAGTATTGAAAATCTGACATAATTTTGACATTTTGTCAAAAAAATTCCTGAAATTGATTACATATTTTATTTATTTTATGCATGTGCTGATCTCATGAGTGATTAAGTTTATTAAAGACACATTTATCAATGAAACTCTACCAATATATAAAAACACCGATAAATAATTTAAGCTTTTAACGACATCTGTTTTGCAAGAAATCATGACGAATTCTTCACCAAATTCTTAAATTTGTATAATACGAGTACACTGAATCCAATGTTGTACTGAATAAAATTTTGTAATTAAAAACTTATAATGTATATGCAAATCGACGAATAAAAAAAATTTTAGCAAAAATATTATTATAACATTTTCCAAAAAAAAAAAAATTATTTTGATTTTTTTTAAAGCGCCTACGAAACGTCGTATTTCACAAAACATCACTGTCAACAAAAATATCATAAAAGTAAATGAATTTCTTCTAACTTTGTTAGTTAGTGGCGTGAATTATGAAAAATCCATTTTCGTGTTAAAAATTGAAATAATAAATGGACTTAGAAAATGGACAACATGGGCCGGGAAAAACAAAAAAATGAAGCAGGATGAGTGTAAATTTTTCATAAAGCAAAAAGGAAAAACTATTTGCGTCAATATGAAAATTATTGTGTCGGGAAATGGAGGAGGAAAGAATTGAAAATATTTTTTTTAAAAATATACGACGGACTTTTTTCTCTTGTACACCTTTTTGTTTCCAGCAGTATTAAGTAAAATTAATATTTTTTATTAATTTTTAAATTTTCACTAATACAAATTAATTTGAGGAATGGTAATCAACTTGTTGAATTAAAAGTTGTATAAAAAACAAAGTTTTTAAATTAAAATTTCCAAAATTTTGAAAAAATTTTAAATAATTTTAATTATATTTTAAAAATCAATAAAAAATTTATTAAAATCTTAAATCGGAGCATGTACAATGAATCTGATATTTCTCCGACGGGCTAGTTCAAATGAGGAGCGGAAAAGAAGAGATCCGGCAGTACTAGAATGAGCTCAAGTGTACTCTTCGAGAGTCCACGTTAACTAACCTAACCTAATAAAAATCGGGGCATTGTTTTTCAACATCGCGTTGACGTGATGTTTGATGGTGCTTGACTTTGCTAAATGCTCAAATATTATGTTACATATACATATTTTATATGTATAATTTACAATTTAAATTATTAAATTTTTAATATGAAAAATCTTAATATTTCCAAAATCAATCATACTGTTAATTTGCATATTATGGTAATTGTAATTATAATAAGGCTATTTATGGCATATTATTCTTCTTCAGTTTTATTTTAATATAATTGAAACGAGTGTCTTTTATTATCTTATGTAATCAATAATGTTATAAGAGATAAAAATAACTTCTTCAAAATATAATTAAATGCCCCTTAATTATACAAATTCTCTATGTTATATGCCTGATATTTTGTCAGTTGAATATATTGATTTTCTATATACTTACTACACGAGTAAGAAATATCTATTAAACTATTATACCTTAAGAAAAGTTGAATGAATCATACATGTGAACACAATGTTAATATGTAGATATAGCTATGTAAGAGTATTTAATTTAAGGATAAAGAAAAAATTCATTCACATTGAATAGCAATTAGATTTTTACTTTATCGTTTGTTTTCTGCAACGCTCACATAACTCAAAATTTCTACATTTGGGAAAATCGACTTTTCAAAGTTAATATGTTTTCCATGTATATGAGATAACATTAAGATTAAGTATATAATGGTAAAAGCAAAATATATAGAATGCATACTTTAAAATAGCTTGGAAAAAGAAAGTAGAATAGAACAGAAATAAATTCTTTTTTTTTATATTTTAATGCGATTAAAGTATAAATACTGCAGAATACAGCAATTTAATGGAAATTCTTTCAATTAGTATGTTACTAAACTGGTATATGTTATAATGTACTAGTTGTTACAAGATATCTCAATCTTAATGGCACCGAAAACTTTGACTTTATAGAAAATAAGCGCTCTCTTTTTTTTTTGGAAATTGAATTAAAATTTCAATTAGCTGTCATTAGTTCTTAATATATGAGAATTTAGAAAATTTAATTTAATGAAAAATTTGCGTATATATTGTGTATTATGTAGTAGGATCGAAATGTGGTATCAAATTTTCTTTGTTAGTATAGACGAATTTAAAAATGGTGAAACACCAATTGGTTTCCATATTTTTCGCGAAATTTTGAAATATTTTTTATATATTATTAAATAAGAAAAGATTTTCAGACTAAAATAATTTCCAAATTCTTCACTTAAGGAAAACTTACTTTCAAGTAGGATCCATAATACTTTGTAACATATGGTGAATCACATTGTGATAATACCATAATTTCTTGTTGTATATCTTCAATTTCATCTTCAGCTTCTTCTAAATCAATTATTTTAATAGCAACAACCTTAAAAAAATAAATTTTTTTTTTCTAATATTTTCCATTTACGTTTTAATGATTAAATTAAAATTACCTGTTGCGTTCTATTATCGATTCCTTTAAATACCTCACCAAAGGATCCTTTACCTATTCGCTCCTGTTTTGTAAAAATCAGCTCAGGATCCACTTTCTGTAATAGACAAAAAAAAAAGGATTATTAATAAAATATTCTTCATTTTACGTCAAAAGTTTATAATTAAAAATTTATATTGACAAAAGTCCACCTAGTGAGTAGAATTTAAAATAAAATCAATACAATTTTAAGAATATGAACCGTGGTGAAAAATTTTTCATGTAATTATGAAACTGACGCACATAACCTTTTTTTTTCTTTCATTTTTTTTAAATAATTAATAATTAGGTAATAATTATTTTAATATATTAGTATTTAATTTAATTATTAATTTGTCAGTTTTCATGAAATTTTTTAATGGTTTTTGTAAGGGTTTTTATTATACTTGTAAACCTTTTTTGAGGAAAAGGAAAAAAAATCCAAATTGGTCTACCAAAATTTTAAATTTCACAAATTTTTTTTTTTTATTATAATTTTTACCTGCTTTGAACGAAATGGGTAGGTGTATAAAATAATTTCCATTATTCGTAGAATTTTTTTTTGAAATATTTTTTTGTCCTTATTTTTAAGGTTGGAAGTTAGAGGATATAAAATGTTTCCTTTAACACTAAAATTTGGGTAAAGAAAAATTTTTGACATGTCAAAGTTTTTGATAAGTTTATCGTAATAAAATCATGGAGACGAATTCAATTACAAAATGTAGATACACAAATTCCAATGCAGTTCATTGTTCCAAATATTTGGATTTTGGACATTAAGTATGCAGTTATAGTTTTCTGTTTTTCATTCAAATTATTGATTAATTACTTTTCAATCATATTCATAATTGACAAGATTGATTATTAAAATTGTTTATAATCACAAATGCTTGTCTTAGATTAATTTTGCAAAGTATATTTGAAGTAAATAATTATAAAATATCAATAACAAGAAAATTAAATATTAAGTACAAGCAAAATATTGAACATTTTAAACGTGAATTCAAAAGCATCACATTTATTTATACATATACAAATACATATTTAAATATATTATATTTATGTGCATATACAGTTTTTATTATTTTTATGTTTTTATTTTAATTATGTGAACTTTTCATGATCCCTCTATCTTTGACAAACCAATAAGTCTATTAGAATTCAATAACTAAAAAAACAAGTATGGAAAATATAAAAATATTAAAAAAATGCTAAGTGCTTTTATTATATATTAATATGTATAAAAATTTAGACTATTGCAATCATTTATTTCGCAAAGAATTAACATAAATAGCTTTAAATACAGTAGAATTTTTAAAAATATTTAACCATTACGAATAATTTAGTGTGAATAATTTAGTGTAAATTAACAAAACGTCAAATTACATAAAATTTATCTGAATTTTAAATCAAATAACTGTTATAGAGGAAAAAAAATTTTCAATATCGATCCAGGCCCAACCAACCATTCAGAATACGCAGCCATTGTACCAACTACCAACCATTAAGGACACGCAGATACGTCACCTTGGCACTCCAAAGTAATCCATCCAATGAAAGCAATTGTCTTCTTCAGGCTACATCGTTAGCTTTCTCATTTCCAATATCTCAGACGAGAGGATTCCAAAAACGACCTTACTGTCCGATATAATAAAGAACCTGCTCCTGCTGAGGTTTCTTCTGATACACGTCAGATCACATAATTCAATAGTATATGTTTCAGCATGAAATATTGATGGATAGTGTGCGAGGGCTTTTGCGATATTTACGTTCCCGCCATATACAACTTAGATCACCTCTTCATTGCTTTTAGGTCCATTTACCCAATATTAAACAAATATTATTCTAAAAAACAGTGTATATCTGTATTTAATGCAATTACTTTGGTCTGCAAATTTGGTTTATTTTTAAGTTTTTTACTGTTTTCAATATTTTTAATATAATAATTTCTTAAATGGAATAAATGAATATGTATGAGAATATTTTTCTCAAAAAAGTATATATATATATACATATATTATATTTATTAGTAGATTTTTTTTACTGTAATACGAAATAATTTTCCAATTTTTCATTTCTTAATCACATTTCGACTTTGCTGAATAACAAATCGATGTGGCGTGACTAAAATTTTCCAATTTTTTTTTTTAATTTTTTTTTTAGTTTTTACTTATTTCTCGTTGTTTTTATGAATTTTCTATTTTGTTTTTTTTTTTTGTTATTCGTTTACATTTGTTGGAATCATGCAAAAACAAAATTTTTTTTTCATATCTTCTTATATCTTTTTTTCTCACATAGGTTTTCCTTTCATGGAAACTCTAGCTATATTATGGGTACTAGTGCATTGTTTTTATATAATATGAGAACACAAACATTCAATATATCATGAGTGTAATGTTTTTTATTCTTACCTATGCAATATATGGAATTAGTGTTGCCTATTTATAAGTAAATAAAACGTATAGTGATGGTCTACCAAATTTAGTTTAGTGTCTGCTTATGTTGTTATATTTGGATAACACAAAATGTCGATAGTGTTCAAAATTGAATAAATATTTTCTAATTTTAAATTAAAAATTATGTTATTTTAAAAGGTTTGTTATTTTATAATCAAAATTTGTTCAAAATTCTTATAAAGAGAATTTGAAACGTCTATTGCCAAAAAAGGTGTGCCCTAATATTATGCAAAGTGTTGGTTATTCCCTAAAAGTATGCAATATATGAATTAAGTTGCACATTTGTACATAAATAAATAATAATTTTAATATGTAGTATGTAGTAATATTAAATATATGATTTAGTTTTAATGTTCTTTTCGCATATTGTCAATATTTAACAAAATGCAGAATAGAACAATGAAATTTTTGTATTTCAAATTTTAGTATTGCAATTAAAACGGCTTTTTTCGGCTAAACTAGAAGAAATATAATCGTCTTAGGTAAATTTTTTTAAATTTCATTAATTTTGTATTTTTAGTATGAAAAGTATATTATTCCTTATGAAAATTCTTAAAAATTAAAAGTACTCATATTTTCTAGTTAAACTGCAAGAGAAAAGAGTTTTTAATAATTATTTTACAAAAATTTGAATTACGTCTATTGTGAATAAATTTTCTTCCTTTAAAGTAAAAAACTATTTGTATCATCACAGATTACTTTTAATCATAAGACCCATCTTTTGAATTATATTAATCACATTTGAACGATTTATATTAAACAATATAATAATATTATAAATTAAGTATATATGTATATCTACCTACATTTAAATATACTTAATAATATGGTGCTATAGGACATATTTCAATTACATACGTGATTCAACTTTTTCAATATCCATATGTATAAACTATAAGTATGCTTGCACTCGTACTCGTAATACGAACCCATATTATACTCATGTTCGTTTATTATAGTTATTTTTCGACGAACTCACGAGAGTTACATTTTTTACTATAAATATAAATATTTTTTTTTTAAATCCCAGATTATTATACCTTTCTTTTATTCCCTTTTTATAGATCGTGTTTTTTTTTTTTTGCTTTTTCTTATTTTTTTTATTCTATATATTTCTTTGTCTTTACCATAATATTCACGTGTATGAAATTAAACTTTAATATTATAGAAAAAATTTTTTTTTCACTATTTATACATTGCACATGGAAAATTTTTCTTGATGACGTGGTAAAGATTAACAAGTAAAATGTGACTCATATACTTACCTATCTACAGTAAAGTTCTAATTTACAATGTTAAACAATAAGAAAATAAAGAAAAGAAAAAAATATATGTAAAAACAAAAATTACAAATTCAATTTATGCATGTACATAATATTATTAATAATTCAGAAATAAAATATAATATAAGTAATTTATAATAATTATTTAGAACACGGGTAATTTATTGATTTTGGAGGCACATGACATATATATGTATACAATAAATATAAAATAATAGTTGTTAAAAAAAAAGTTTGTATAATTGAAATTTATCAAAACTAACAAAGTACATACTTATGTACAAATATACAGGATACATAATGTAAACGCATATATATATAGAAGTTCAGAAGTTGTAAAAAATAATTTATGATCATCGTACGAGATGATTAATAGTATCAATATTAACTGTTATTAATTAAGAACATTTATGCAAAACAATAAAACATTTAAATAATAAAATATCTCTTTGTTTAACTTTTGTGTATAAGTAGATATACTTACATAACTAATATCCTAGAGAACAAAAGACTTTTTAATATTACAATTTCAAGAGATTTTTAATTAATAAACTTAATATTTTTTAAATTGTTTCACGTTCGATAGAATTAATTAAATAACAAAAACTGTAGTGTCATACAAAAAATAAATTATTGTAAATATGTAAAACTTTTTTGAATTATTCAATTCTTCTTGGAATATTATTGCGAGAAGCTATTCAATCATATTTAAATTTTTTCTACAATTTACATGATTTTAAAAAATAGATATGGATCTTATAATTTTTGTAATTTTAATTTGAATTTAAATAATTTTTTTTGATTTTCGTTGCATTAAAAATGATTTAAATAATTTTCTTTTATTACACCTTATAATTATGTAGGTTATCTCCAGTAATTATTTATTTTTCTTAAAAATTTCTTATACAAGTTTATAATTCCTACACAAAAAAATTAAAATCTTAACATACATAGTTCAAATTGTAAACGACACGTGGTTCTTTTTCGGTTCTTGTTTTTGCTGAATATATACATATATAAAATTAATATTTTATGCTAATTATAATTCTTTGATAAATCGTCATCATTATTTTTGAATATTTAACTTTCTAACTTTCAGATTTCATTACACTCCTATAATATCAAACAAGAATATTTCGTTTTTGATCTGATATACATAATGTATTGTGTAATATATTGTCATAAGGTATAGGAACATATAGTTTGCTCGTATTAAGATATGTTTGTAGGTATGTATCTATACAATCACACAAAATTTGTTATGCTTAAATCTTGTGAATGTTACCTTTTTCTTCTTTTCTATAAAACGCATCTGATTGATGGTGAAAATAAAATAATCA